GGATTGTCAAAGAGACTTGTTAAAGGAATTGGCAAAGGGATTGTTAAAGAGACTGTTTAAGAAATTGGTAAAGGGATTGTTAAAGAGACTGTTAAAGGAATTGGTAAAGGTATTGTTAAAGAGATTATTGAAGGGATTGTTAAAGGGACTGTTAAAGGAATTGGTAAAGGGATTGCTAAAGAGATTATTAAAGGGATTGTTAAAGAGATTATTAAAGGGATTCCTAAAGAGATTATTAAAGGGATTGTTAAAGAGGCTGTTAAAGGAATTGGTAAAGAGATTGTTAAAGAGATTATAAAAGGGTTTGCTAAAGAGATTATTAAAGGGATTGTTAAAGAGACTGTTAAAGGAATTGGTAAAGGGAATTTTAAAAAAACTCTTAAAGGAATTGTTGTAGGGACTGAAAAAGAGATTGTCAACAGGGGTTGTTAAGTGTTGAAGAAATATCAGATAGAAGTAGAAATCAACTCATGATCTAATCTATGATCTAATCATGATTAATCCTTTCCCTATCAACATTTTTGAACACTCCCTTTATATCGTACATACAAATTCATTTCATTTTTGTTGAATAAATAAATAAAATATTAGTCCTAATTTAATTCTTTATAAAAGGTTGGGGAAAGGAATTAAGTCTTTGCCACTAACTCCAATTTTCTAATAATAATATCTTTGCAATTCCGTGTAAGAGCAAAATATTAATATTTAAGTTTGAAATATCAAAGGTTTACACCATCAGGTTGCAATGAGATAAAGATTGGAAATTTGAGTTTGTGGCAAAGACTCAATTCCATTTTTACATGAGTCAGCACATCATTTAATGATAATCTCCCATAATTAACACTGATGTCCATGCACCAATGGTTTAGTAAAGGATAAGCAGGATAAGAAGGATTATTGAAGAAACAAGCTATATACTAATAAACATAAAGTAGTAATCTCTCTTTTAGTGTTTGTTTGATTGTCATGCCCTATCATAACTCGTAAACCCCTCGACCAATTTGCATAAAACTTTGATAAGTAACCAGTTAAATTAATGGAAATGCTCTTAAACAATGCTTAGATCTTCAGATAAAGGTGGGTTTCTATAATATAAGCATAGTAAACAATATGGTTAACAAACCTTCTTATACAAACAAACACACACACACTTTACGGACACTAAGACTTCTCACACCTGACAACCCCCCCTCTTTCAACTCCTACCCTCAAATCCATAGAGTTATGTAAAATATGTAGATTAAAATTAAAATTTTCTTTAATTTATGTATTGTATACATTCCATTGCTGCACCCCTTCCCTATTATTATGTGTATACAATATCACCCACTGACTCCACCAAAATAATAACTGTGTGTGCAGAGGACATATGTACTTTGATTAAAACTTAATTATAAGCGACCCTAATCAGCTCTCTTTAAGCCTTTGTCTGATCAAGGAGAAATAAGATATTCTTATTTTTCTTGCAGAAAATTGATAATTGTGGTTTTTCTGTAAAAGTTGCTTTTTCAGATTTATACTGCAAAAGGAATGGATGAAATTGTCAGAATTTAACAATTTTTATATGAAAAAAATACAATATCTTTTTCACTTTTACTCAGATAGATTAAATTGGTACTTTTGTGAATATAACATTCTATTTATATCGTGGAGGGTTATTTAAAAGTACGTCTATACCAGAACTTTTAGATTTTTTAGCATTTTTTTTGGTTTTTCTCTAAAGATGAAAGTTAAACAAAATATTTTGTAATATAGAATCTATAGATATTGAAAATAGTTTTGGTGGTGTATGTATATTGTATAGGGCATGTAAATGGGCAAAACCCACATCATGAGATACTTTCATTGTTAAGTATTTTAGAATGATTGAATATATCTGAAAATCATTCAAGTTAGAATTCATATTTTCGGAAGTTTGAAAGTAAAAGTTTAAAACTGTTACATAATACAAATGTATTATGTAAGAAAATTTCCTATCGTAACCGGGTTGATGTTCAACTCGTTCAACCTTTCGAACACGTTGTAAGAATTAGCTAACACTGATTTATCCTCATTGGAAGGATACATTATTGTTGATCGCTTCTGATTGGTTAAAGACAGCAACTAAATTCATCAGTTAGAAATAAGACTGATATTTTGCAGAGAATTTTACCAAATAACTTTTCAAACTTCAAAAATAAAAGTTTTGCGATAATTAAATATACTTTTATTATAAGAAATGACTAATTCATGCACTTACCTTATCTAAGCTGTTAAATGATATGAATTCAAGTATAGCATGTTAAACTTATACTATTTAATTCAGAATTTACATTTAACAAAGAAAATTGATCAAGTCAAAGTCGTGTTTAGATCACTTTGGGTCTGGGCCAAGGTCAATCGACCTAGATCCCCTTTAAACAGAAAAATGTGGAACATTTATATTGAAATAATTATGTCTAAATCTGAAACGCTTTAAAGGAACTGTAAACGTAATTTTAAGGGATAGTGTTGTACAGGGGGGGGGGGGCGGCAGGACCTTCGCGCCCCCCTGAGATTTCAGAATAGCTTCTCAATAGCACTTAAGGGAAAGAAAACCTAGTGCACAACAGGAAAAATATCTATCTTAAATTTGTTTGTTCCAAAAGAAATCTAGCACCCCCCTCACTTAAATCCTGTATATACAAATGTGAATGTTTTTGTGTTTATTGAAAACTACTTATGTTCAATTGTGGTTTCTCTACAACAGTGACGAGTGAGTGATACATAAAATTTCAATTATTAAACATAAAAAATTTCTTGAAATAATTAACAATTATTCCCAGAATGGAAACAATTCCTTATGATATTTTCTAGGGGGTGGGGGTGGGGGGAGAAATTGAATTATTGTGCGCGAAGCGCGCCGAATTTTGTATGTATTTTCTTAAAAATCAAAACTAAAAGGCTAAAACATGCCTGCTCTCTCTTCTTGCGCTCCAGTCCCCCCCCCCCCCCAAAAAAAAAGCCGCCTCTGAATTCATTCCTTCATTTATTCACAATTCTATCGATCAATGTGTTGGGAACTATTTAAAAAAGATATAATAAGGTAAGGTGGTATGCAACTTTAGGTTAATTTACAGAAAATCACTTTACGATTTTTGTATTTTAAGTTTTATTTTCTCCAACCAATAACCATGTCTATAATATTTTTTAATTTTTACATGCTATGCTCGCCTTCGCTGTTTTATTCTACCATTTCTCTATACCTTGCGTGAAACGACCGTGAGGACCGTGATGTAGACAAAGGATTACATTTAGGGGTTAAGCTATATAAAGGAATAAGGATATTATTACATATACTGAACACACACATATATAGAATAGAGATATCTAATTTTTTAACTTCTTAAAACTAATTAAATAGTCGGTATGTTGCATTCGTTTCATAGTTTTAATATATTTCATTAACAATGGCGAAAAAGTTGTCGGAAATGTGAAGTGTCGGGTTTGAAGAATAAAAACCGGCCTTTCACCGTCCCGGCCCGTCCTATCAATCTATCTGCACTGCCACGGCCAGTCGTTTTACAGAAACCCAGCCCATAACAATTCTAAAAATCTAGGAAATTTTTCGCCAAACCGCCCCTTTCTCGAGCATCAAGTGATTCAGTTCTCTATAGTTACATTACACTACATGTCTATTATGAAACGTACTGTATAATTGGTATAAGATGGTGCTGCATGAAATTCTAAAAATATAAAAATGTCAACATTGCAGTTTAAAATATGTCGAAATAAGTGAACTAGTCATTTTCCAGTGAAGAATTGAAGAACCCGGAGAAATGAGAAGGACGGATTCAATTCTCACCTAAGCATGGAGTCAGGGGTCTTTCTGACGATATTTCTCTTATTTAGGAAATTAAATCAATCAAGATTTCAATGGATGATTTAATAATTATTAAATAGATTAGAAATACTTCTGCTCATTATTTTAGTACAAGTGTAGACCCTTTGTTTATAAAGGAGCACGACTGATTTTTGAGAATTTCCTAGAGAACGATTTTTGGACCCCGCCCCCCCCCGTATCATTTTTGTACATGGATCTTAAATGTAAGACATTTGGCAGCAGCGCTCGGATCCTAGCCGCAGCGCTCTGCCCAGAAAGTGTCTTAACTTAACCTAACCCGTGGCCCCAGCGCTCGGCCCCCTAGCATGTCCTAGCCGCAGAGCTCGGCTCAGAAAGTGTCTTAACTAACCTAACCCTAAATAAATACTAATTTAAAAACTAATTTGGTCATGTACAAAATTGATGTTGACATCTGATTTATTATTGATAAGACAAAGCTAAATAAGGAACCGTTGTGAATCGTACATACCACTTTAAATTTAAATTTGAAATTGAATTTATGTCTACAGTTGCTTTAGGTTTTAATTAAACAGCAATATTCAATTTTTGAAATGGAAGCGTTATGGTTTTGAAGAAATAATTTAGTTATTATGTTTTCTAAAACTTTGCAGAAAAAGCATCAACATTGTAATTTTTTGTAAGTTCTCTATGATTGACGCATAAACAGTGTTCTCATTCAAAATCAATTTAAAATTTATTTTGAAGGTTTAATTACAAATGATTGTCCTGGTCCCGGAGTCCGATATTCCGATGATTTTGAAACTTTTTTGATACTCGTTTTTTACGTCCATAGCATATATCTTTTTTCTTCTCAGTATTTATTTGTTTTTCCAAAAAAAACATTCTCAACTTAAGTTTTAGAAAAGGTTAAAAAGAAGAAATCTGTATGGTTTCTTACATATTAGAAAAGAGTTTTATTTTTATCACCAAAAAGCTAGCTCAAGATCTTACCTTCCTGGATATCCTTCCGTTAAGGAGTTGGGGGATTTCCCCCTTCTCGTTTGTTAAAACGAATAATAACATAAAGTAATCATCTTAATTAGTTTATTTTCTTAAATATAATTATTATTTCCAGTTTTAGATAATATTGTTATACAAGGCAAAGGTTTTTTTTCTTTCATTAATTTCTCTCAACTTCTGAAAGAGGTGATTTTTTAAATCAATAATCGTTTCTTTCTTTTTACATTTTAACTCTATTTTTTTAAAGCATTAAAAAAACGACATTTTACATGCTGTTTCCTTTTTTTGTCGCAACTTATTTAATTATTTTTATTATGGTTCCATATGGAAATGTAAGAAATCTGAAATTAGTGACGTAATTTGATTCCTTTGTTTTGAGTCTGGTTTCATGCTTTATCTCAGGGCTTTATCTTTACAGTTACGGGTTAAAAAAAAAACCGCCACCTGCTTCAAGGCAGTAATAAACATCATGACACTTTAACTATACTTTTTACGTATATTTAAACTAACATTTTTCCATTTTTGGAAATGATTTTTAGCATCATGTTCCCTATTTTTTTTGTCTTATAGGAATTCTTTTTTTTATTAAATCGCTACCAAAAGCCTGGGCACCCTGTTTTTGCATATTTTATTAAAAACTGCTTATTTATTTTTGTCATGGTTGAATTACTTTGTCCGTTTTTTTATCTTTTAGCATCAGATAAAAGTTTCTTCAGCACAGGGGTCAACTATACAAACTATAATTATATTTTTTGTGTGTGTTTTCCTTAATTTGAATTGACAGGAACGTCTAGACTGAATAAAAACAAGAAAATGACATGTTTACTGATTGATATTTTGATGGTGATTTCCGCTTTGAGTAGGATTAATTATTTGATTGCTTTTTTTATTTAATTTGCTTTAATTGATTGTTTGATTGATTGCTTGGTTTAACTGATTAATTTCTTGGTTTAGTTAATTGATTGTTTGATTGCTTGGTTTAATTGATGGTTTGATTGATTGCTTGGTATAATTGATTGTTTGATTGAATGGTGTGATTGATTGATTGTTTGATTGCTTGGTTTAATTGGTTGTTTGATTGATTGCTTGTTTAATTGATTGATTGCTTGGTTTAATTGATTACTTGGTTTAATTGATTACTTGGTTTAATTGATTGATTGCTTGGTTTAATTGATTGATTGCTTGGTTTAATTAATTGATTGTTTGATTTCTTGGTTTAATTGATTTATTGCTTGGTTCAATTGGTTGTTTGTTTGATTGCTTGGTTTATTTGATTGTTTGTTTGATTGCTTGGTTTAATTGATTGTTTGTTTGATTGCTTGGTTTAATTGATTGTTTAATTGATTGGTTTAATTGATTGCTTGCTTTGATTGATTGTTTGTTTGATTGCTTGGTTTAATTGATTTCTTGGTTTAATTGATGGTTTGATTGATTGGTTTAATTGATTGCTTGGTTTAATTGATGATTTGATTGCTTGATTTAATTGATTAATTGCTTGGTTTAATGATTTTTTGTTTGATTGCTTGATTGTTTGATTGATTGATTGCTGTCCCCAGTTTGAAAATACCGTGGAGTGGAGGAAGTGTTTACAGTGGGACCGAGCACATCTGCAGTCTCAGGCATATTATATTCAAAATTATATTTATTCACGTTTTAAAGAAAATCAGATAGATCAGCAGCTTGAACTAATCTTTGGTTTACACTCGACTTTTTTTTGTGGTAGATGGAAAAAGAAAAAAAACTGGTTTATGATGAAGTTATTTATTTTTCAAAAAAAAATTTATTAAAAAAAAAAATAGGATTCATATTGGTTAAAAATTATTTTTTGGTAAATTTCTATCCCAATTTGAAATAGATAAAAATTCAACTGTGAAACCTGAGAATTGTAATATAAGTATTCTTTCCCAAAAAGTCCCCCCCCCCCATTGTTATATCTTGAAGACTCCTTAATAAGTAGATGTTTCATCAAAATATTTGCAAAAAGATTTAAAATTTATTTTTATGAGAAAAGATCGAAATTTTTTTGTCCTCAGTTTTACTACAAGTTTTTATTACTGGAATAATTTTACTTAAAGTACCATGCAACATGTGTTTTATATAGTTCTACACATTTTAAACACAATTTAGTGCAAATATCAAGTTTTGCACATAATGCCTCTAACCAGTATTTGCGAGTACAGATTGTTTCATGTTTCTGCGTGAATTTGCATGTTATAAATGACACTGACATTTTTTCAAATTATTTGCGTTTATAAAAGTGTTTTAACTTCCTTTATATTTGAATATATTACACACAAGGGTTTACTACGGAAATAGTAAATATTAAATCCTTCTGTATAGTATAAGGCTATTAGCAGGCTATCGTGATAAAAGAAATATAAGGGGGGGGGGGCTTTCGTGATGCATTCATAATATAATAAATATAAATGAGATAGTTTTAGAAATTTGATAAATCGATGAAAATGTTGTAAGTGTCCAAATAATAAACATCATGGTTTGTTTTGTAAATTACGATTTAGTCGTGTTATTATAACTTTTGAGTGAACATAATAGATTCAAGTTTTGAATATAAAATAATAAAGGGAATGCTCCTGTTTTCAGCAGAAGGTTGAATGTGCCTGTCTTCCTGGATCAAACTTTCAGGTACAGATTTACAAGCAGAGTATAGATAGATGGACAGATCGATACACAGATGATAGACAAAAGTTAGACAGAACGTCGAAAAATACAAAGACAGATGAACAGATGAACAAAAAGATAGACATATATATATATATATATACAGGAAAACAAATTGACATTATCTAGATACACAGATCGTCAGATATTCAAACAGAAAGATATACATAGACAGTTAGATAGTTAAACAGAAAGATATACATGGACAGTTAGATAGCTAAACAGATAGATTCTTGAACAGATAGATTGGTAAACAGATAGATGGTTGAACAGATAGATAGTTGAACAGATTGATAGTTGAACAGATAGATAGTTGAACAGATAGATAGTTGAAGAGATAGATAGTTGAACAGATAGATAGTTGAACAGATAGATGATTTAACCGGTATATGGTTAGCAAGCTTTATAGTTTGACAGATATAATTGATAGTGAAATAGTTAGCTAGATTGTTATACTGTTATTGTAAACCTATTAGGGTGAAGTAGCATTGTATATATACTTGCAATAAATCTGTTATCGATTCCTCACCTTTCCCCCCCCCCCCNGGGGGCAGGAGCAGAAGGGAAGAAGGGGTGGAAGGGGAAACGGTGAAATGGAAACCATTTGTTCTGCGCGCTATCATGATGAACAAGGGGGGGTGGTGGTGACGGGGGAAAGCCATTAGTAGACTTACTTAGTAATTACCAACACCACTTTAAGGTTGATGGGGTTTAAAGTTAAAATGGATATATTCAGAAACCTTAATATTATAAGTCGTTAGGTCTGCAGACAAAATCATGAATTTTCGTAAGGACTATGGAATTTTGCGGATTTATTGGGATCAAACTATAATAGTTTTAATTTTTAGTAAACAAAAGGATCTAGATTAATAAATGTTCAATGTTGATAATATATCATAACTCACATATGCTGAATTTTGGTGACATCGGCACAAAGTTGTCGTCTGTGAGGCTCATTAGGATAAATGGAACAGCTGACATACATTGCGATATTTGGAGTCTTAAAACTCGTTGTTGTCGTCAATTAAATACGTGCTGCTGACAGTCCTTGAATGATCAATTACATTTCAGATTTTAAAATTTTTCATAAAGCCTAATTTTCCCTCTTTTTTCACAAATATGAATCAATTTTACGAGTTCTTGCTATATATATTTTAGTATGTATTTATACGGACTTTTTGCGCTATTCCATCTGGCCGCCTCCCCCAATTCCTCCCCCCCCCCCTACATTCGAACTTATGCAGTAGCCTTGCCTTTAAACAGCACATGTATAAGGGAAGTGAGCAGGGGGGGGGAGGGCTTAACTGGAAAATGTTAATATTTCTTCCACAGTGTTTTCTACCCATAATTTGAAGCAGTTTCAACGATGATTTAAGTCAGGACTTCATTTTTGTTTATATATTTCTTCCAACTTGTTTTTTTTACAACATTTTATGTTTTAAACAAGAAAATAGTTTAATAAAACCTTCTCATTTGTGTCTCGCTTTATATCTGTATTTCAGAAGCAGTATTTAAATGTATTTATCTATGTTTATAAATTTAAAAAAGTATTTTCAGTTTGTTTGTTTGTATGTACGATCTTAACTCATAAATCCCTTGACCAATTTGCCTCAAATTTTGATTTGGGAAGTCTGTAGAACGATAGCTAGGTGTACAAATTTCAAATATATGGGTTTATTTTTATAGAGTAAATTTAAAGTCTTAATGTAAAGCTGGGTTCCCTAGCTAGTTACTAATAATTAATAAAATAAATGATGAATAAGACCACCCACTCTAATTAATTTATATCATGGCACTTTTCAAGGTCGTTATTATCAGTTTGTAGTATAATGAGTTATTCATAATTATTCATATTCATATTTAAATTGTTAATTTGCATCCAAAAAAGGTCAACATTTTCTATGTATTTTATTAACTTATTTTTTTGAAAGACTTCTTTCTAAAGATCAAGAAGAAAATGTTTATTCTATAGATATTGTATAGATACAAGATATTGATAAAAAAGTCTTACAGAAAAGAAGAGATGATAAACATAACAAATATTTACTATAAAATCATATTATTCATTGTAAAGTAAGAAGAAGAGTCTCAAAATCTTCTGATTTATTGTAAAATTAGGAAAAAGTTACAAAATCCTCTGTTTTGGTGTAAATCGGGAATAAGTCTTAAAATCCTCTGCGTTATTGCAAAATTAGAAAAAAATAATAAAATCCTCTGTTTTATCGTAAAATCAGGAAAAATTCATAAAATCCTCCGTTTTATTGTAGAATTAGGAAAGTCACAAAGTCCTCTGTTTTATTGTAATTCAGGAAAAAGTCTGAAAATCCTCTGTTTTATTGTAAAATTAGAAAAAATCCTCCGTTTATTGTAAAATTAAAAAAAAATTAATAAAATCCTCTGTTTTATTGTAAAATCAGGGAAAATTCATAAAATCCTCTGTATTTATTGTAAAATTAGGAAAAAGTCATAAAATCCTCAGTTTTATTGTAAATCACGAAAAAGTCTTAATATCCTGTGTTTTATTGTACAATTAGGAAAAAATCATAAAATCTTATGTTAATGTTTTATTGTAAGATTAGAAAAAGTTCTAAAATCCTGTTTTATTGTAAAATTAGGAAAACTTCTAAAATCCTCAGTTTTATTGTTAACTTGAAAGAAAGTCGCAAAATCCTCTGTTTTATTGCAAAATTAGGAAAAAGTCCTTTGTTTTATTTTAAAATCAGGAAAAAATCATAAAATCTCCAGTTTTATTGTAAAATTAGGAAAAGTAAAAAAATCCTTTGTTTTCTTGTAAAATCAGGAAAAAGTCCTAACTCCTCAGTTTTATTGTAAATTAATGTGCAAGTCCTAAATTCCGCAGTTTAAATTGTAAATTAAGGTGCAAGTCCTAAACTCCTCACTTTTATTATAAATTAAGGTGCAAGTCCTAAACTCCTCACTTTTATTGTAAATTAAGGTGCAAGTCCAAAACTCTGACAACGAATAAAAGATGTCGCTTCTTTCCAGTCGTAAAAGTTCAAACTCGAGAGGATTAAAATTTTCATCATTCCACACAAATTCAAGCAGATTACACATGACATTAAATAGCAATGTCGGACTCATTGAGACAGATTCTTTAGTCTGGGGGGTTTACAAGAGAGCAAAAATTGACCATAAGACAAGATATGGCAAAATTAATCATTAGTCAAGAACATACAAGAGTAGAAATAATAATTTTTTTTTTTAAATTGTTCAACATCAGGTCTTTAACTAGGATTTTAAGGGTTTAAGGAATTAATCAAGTGTTGAAATAATAACATTTTTTAAATTGTTCAACATCAGGGTTTTAACTAGGATTTTAAGGAGGGGTTTACCGCTCCCCAAAAAAAAAAAAAACGGCTGTCCTGAGAAGTTTCAGCATTATTACAGGGGTTTCCTCTTCTTCTCTCTAATATTTTATAAAGTGAAGTAACTTTTTAGGCTCTCTGTTAATTTTTCAAAATTGCTTTTTACGAATTAAGATTTATGCTTTGTTATAGCTTTTTTTCTTGGGGTCATTTTAGGACAGCTTTAACCCCCTAGTTAAGGCCCTATTAGCTATAAGTAGAAACAGACCAAAAAAATATATTAAACTGCAGCACTTGGAAAAATCGACAATCGTTAATAAAACAAAGTGAACAAAACTATAAAATCTTTTTCAAATTCAGCTCGTCGACGTGGTGAAAACATGCTTGAAATTGGGGTTACCAAAATGTATGTTTTAGGAAAGTTTCGAGTACAGAGATGATTCAAGGAAACTTCAAGAGCTAACTATTTCTAATTGTTCAAAGCTTGTCTTCCATTCACAGGTATAGGCACTAGACTTAATTTGAAGTTTTAAGATAATTTTGATTTTTACCTAAAAAAAAATTTTCTCTAAAATTTAGTTCTCCCCATTTCAGCGAAAAAATTTCTAAATAGGGGGAGCTGGGGGTTTAATTTTGTTTAACATAGAAATGCACGCACATCTGACCCCCGCTTTCTTTTATTATCAATTATTTCATCACCCTGTGGGATGCTTTCTTTCTCATTTCCTCTTATACTTCTATCACCAGGGTTGTAATCTTTTTCTTTGGCTTTTTCTTCTTCAAAATTTGTATTTTCTTGGCCATCATTATCATCATTATGTTGAAGGGCATCAGAATAATTGGGCTCAGTAACAACTTTATCAAATTCATCGTTATTCATATTGTTTCCACCTGTAGTAAAAGTAAATTTAACCTAAAGTCTGACCGCGTCAACCATGTTGCACCGGCTAGTCCTATTGAGTGTCTGCTTTATTCACCCAATGTCTGGGCGATACAGTACAAACTGGGACCGAAAAGTTTGAATATATTCCTTGGTTTAGATGAAAATAATCCAAAAATTAAATTATTCTACATCATTAGCAAAAAACTGTTAGATTGAAAAAAATCTAGAAAAAAAATATAATAATGAAAATCACGCGTACATTTAAAAATGCAGAACTTCTGAACCAATTTAATAATGAATGTTGTTACTGTAAACAATGTTATCTAAATTATTAAAAGTTAAAAGAAATGCTAAGCCATGAAAATAAATGTGTCAATTTTATGAATTTTTCCGAACTTTTCTTAGCATTTCATCATGTTATATATTGAAAGATAAAGATTGTATACATTTTAATCCTGTATAATCTTACCAAGAATTAAAATCTGCTCGGGTTTATCTTGAAGCAGATTATCCTAAGGATTCTTGCCGATAATTCTTTGTTTTCATATTTGGATATATAATCAAAATAGATAATTAAGTTTGTTGCTTGTGTTATTCGAATACAAGATTAATTAGGGTGCCTCTCCCCCGGCCACTCGGCCCTTACCCTTCTCTTATCCATTACTCTTCCCCCTTCCTTCTCTCTAATCAAATTACGTTAATAACCCCTTCTTGGTCTCCCAAACCATTCCCATTCCCCTGGTAATCTATCTATTCATTTGTATATCTTCTCAAAAAAGTGTTTTTGACTTTCTCCTTCTATACCATTTTTCTTTCGTATTCGGTGCCCTTTCCTTACTTGTTCTTCTAAGAACATCTAGTTTATCTGACTTGAATTCACTCCTTTTACTAATATATATTTCCATACCTTGCCATTCTTTTTCAATCTTTCCTCATCATTTTCCTTCCTGAAGCAACCCACCTTTAAAGTACGCGTATTTAGTCCCTTTAGAGGGAATTTTAGAATGATTATAAAGTGTCAAAGATAAAACATAAAACTTTTTCATAAAATATTGGTTGGAATTTTTTTAGCCAAGTACATTTGTTGCCCCAATGTTCTTTTTTAGAAGAAAGTCATTTTAGTTTGATTTTGGGTTACAACTGACAGATTAATGCTTTGGCTTAATTTTAAAAATGATTTTTTGATTACTATTGCATCTTTGTCTAAACAATATTTCCACAGTGCATATCTTCAGTTGCCTACCATGTGTTGTATATTGTGTTAATTTGTTAAGTAAGGGGAAATATTTCCTTTAAGAATATCCTCCTCTCTTCTTGATTCTTAATACTATTTAGGTGAATATATGTATGTCTAATATTTTTACAGAACATGCTCATGAAGTTAATGTTATTTACAACTAATATAATAAAAATTAGAACAATATATGGTTTATTTTACTGTACCTAAGCAGTAAAAATGCAATGTTATAGTTGTTATATTAAAGCTTATTTTAACCCTTTTTTACTTTTAAGATTGTATTGTCATATTAATTATAATTTAAAAAAAGAATTCCTCTAAAATTTCAAATTCCTTTTATAGTTTTAAATGTAAAATATTTTTGAAGGAATATTGAAATATATGTTCCTCGCAAGTTTTTTTGGATGATATATTTTCTCCTCGTGAAAAAAACGTACTTTGTTATAACTTTTTTTATGGGGTTATTTTAGGACAGCTTTAACCCCAAAGTTACGGCCCTATTAACTATAAGTAGAAACAGACCAAAAAAATATATTAAACTGCAGCACTTGGAAAAATCGACAATCGTTAATAAAACAAAGTGAACAAAACTATAAAATCTTTTTCAAATTCAGCTCGTCGNGGCTTAAATCTTGAAATATTTAATACAATTTTAAGTGGAACCAACCATATTTGAGTCGCGGCTTAAATTTAAAGCGCGGCTTAAATTCTTTAAATTCGGCCTCAGGTTTAGCCGTTTTTCGTTTTTTTTTGGACAAAAACAATGAATGAATAAATGAATTTCTGCTAGGCCTTTAAATCCTACAACACTGACAGCCCAACTGTGAGCGTGCGCGTTGAAAACTGTTCTTCTCTCAACATCAAGCAACGCGCCTTCGCGAGCATAAAGAGTTTATCCGTCCTGAACATCCAGGACCTAACGTTGGAATCTCTTGCCCTGAAACTAAAGATCCCAACCCTGGAGCCAACTATTCATATCTGGTTCAGCAACATCTCAACCACAGGCCTGGCCTCGAGCACCTTCTCCTCCTCCTTCAAGAATATACTCATAGAGAACAGTAGAGTCGATAAGATACACACAAATGCTTTCTCAGGTAAAATTACCGCCATTTTTTTGCGCAGTTTTTTCACCGTGCGTTCCTAAAGTTTACAATGACGTTGAATTTCAAGTTCCTTTTTTATAGGAGAATTGTAAAAAAGTTTTTAAAATTTTAAAACGCCTTTTTTTATGCTGATGTGACACTTAAAATAAATCGTATAAAATTAACACAGTTATTAAAAGTAAATTATTATGAAAAGTTAATATTACCCCTGTTATACGTTAAAATCTGTTCACTGTTTATAAACTTAATCAATCTCGTTCAAAGTTTAATATAAACATTTATATTTAGGGTTTCTTATGAGTACAATCACTCTGAGAGATGTTTCAATATCTAGGATTGAAACCAAGGCGTTCTCAGACCAGTCTGTGATAGAAAACCTGGTCATAGAGTCCTGTAACATCAGTTCAATCGCCCAGAAGTCTATAGTAGCGGGTATATCGCAGCTGAACCTAACCCGGTCAATCATTCAATCAATATCAAAGTACGGAGCTATTAACGCCACCGTAGCCAGCGTTCATATCTCCAGCAATACGTTCAGGACCTTGGGGGAGGAGTCCTTGAACTTTATCTCATGGAATTCAGTAAATATTGTTAATAATTCCATAGAATTTATGGAAGAGGGAGCCATTAATGCCATACATAGTCCTATGGATAAATCCACGGCTAGTTTTGTGTTTACCAATAACAGGATTGGATATGCGAACCGGAATTCTCTTGTGACCCAGCTGCCACACGGCGTGGATGTGTTGATCAAGAAAAACCGGTTTCATCATACATGTGATTGTAATCAGGAGTCGTACATCAATTCTCTGACTCGGCACTCGGGACTATCCAGTCCATTCCAGGTATTAGAGGGATAGGGGTATATATTTTCTAAAATTACCCCGGGGGGGAATATTTTTTTAAAAAGCAAAATTTTACTTTTTTTGATACTTTTTAACCAAAGTATTAATTTATTTTCCCAATTTGACGAATGAAACCCTAAAAACGTACCTAACTTCTAATCAAGTTTTAAGCTAATGGCAGAACAAGCTATATAGCAACGTCAAACACACAAGCTATATAGCAACGTCAAACACACAAGTTTGTTCAAATGTCATCTTCCCAATCAACTTGTTAAGGAGTTACCGAACATAAAACTATCTCCATCTAGATTTTAATAAATTTTTCTTCAGGATTTGAGCGGAGAATTTGTTAATTCAAGTTCATGTCGAATATCTGATTCAGTAATTCCATGTTTTCCCTCCTCCTTCTCCTCCTCCCTCTCCAGTTCCCCGTTCACCTCGATGGTAGAGTACCAGGAGGTGATCTGCCTGGTGGAGAGGTTACCCTCCTGCGCCCTAGCCCCTTCCGACTTACCAGACATAGAACGCAGTGGATCATTTTATGATGATTTTCTTCTTCTCTTTCAGGTTAATTTTCAGTTTCTAAATCAAAAATGATTTTAAAAAAAATCTGTTTTGCTGGAAATTTTTGCTGAATATAACCTTCAGAGGAAAAGTATACAAATATTGATGTTCCTATTTTAAATAAGTGTTCCCCTTTTTGACAAATTTGATTATAAAAATTCAACACAGAAATGTATTTAATAATAATAATAATAAGGTCTATAGATTACCAAGTGATGATGTATTTGTTTACATTTTAAATACATGATAAGTTGATAACAGAGCACTGAGCAGTAAGGGTGAAACATCTTGCAAAGCCTAATTCAACACAGCAAACTGTTTGTAAAAATATTCAAAAACATGCGATCTAGGAGCATTAAAAAAGTGGAAATAAACTAGAGAAATCAGAAAATCAGCTAATTTCCTATTTTTTCAGTTCCAACTAGGCTATTTTTTAGTATTTTGTAAAACGGGGTTTTTTCGTTGAATATGGCTTGGAAAGACGGATCTTTTAATGGCCATATCGACATAAATTTTTTTTATCACAAAAGGCCATTTTCAAAAGTAAATTTTGATTTCAGCGAAAAATCGCTTTTAAAATGTTTCATAGAATTTAAGAATACATTAGTATTTACTACTTAAAATTTAATCCTCTCTTGTGAAAATTTTTTCATCCTTACTGAGCAGGGACCTAAATTATACTGGAGATTTATTTTTATTAATGTATTTCAGTTTGGGTTGACCATTTTTACAATGAGCTTCAAAATCAAATTATGATGCACATTTAGGCAAAATCAATTGTATGAATATTAAAAGGGAAAATTATACAATTTCCTTATCATATTCTGATTATGTAATATGTGACGGATATGGGCAGTGGGCACTGGACGTTTCACATTACTCGAATTCATTTTTACAAGGCACTAGGTAGTGTTTTTAGTTGCCGTCCATTTATTAGGTGGCACGGCTATTAACAACGGTACCTTCATCTGAGTAACAATGAGTATAATATCGTCGTTTTATTATCTTAAAGAGACAGTTTTAAATCAATTTCTCGAGACATGAACATCAGATAGATGTCTTATAGGTATCGTTCAACTCCACAGATTCTCAGGTTTCATCCTGTACCCCCTTTATTTTTCCTTTACAGTCCCTTTAAAACCTTGATTCTTATCAATTTTTCCTTTACAGTCTATTTAAAACCTTGATTCTTATCAATTTTCCTTTACAGTCCATTTAAAACCTTGATTCTTATCAATTTTCCTCTACAGTCCCTTTAAAACCTTGATTCTTATCAATTTTCCTTTACAGTCCATTTAAAACCTTGATTCTTGTCAATTTTCCTTTGAATTGACCATGCCATTTTTTCAATTATTAAGGGTCACTTAATTATGAGTATAGTCCCTTTAAGCTGAAGTGTGTGCAAATTAAACTGGTTGGAACAGCTGAACAATTAAATATATATTACTGCAGCTGCGGGTTGGAGATTGCAACAAAGAATTTAAAGATCAGCAGCAGCTGTTTGTGGCAGATTGCAACATAGATAAAACATTAACCACTTTTACACTACACATGTTTTAGGATCACAAAAATTATATTATTTGATGGTTTGTTGTATAAACCTAAATCCTAATTTTTAATGAAATAAAGATAGAAAATGATTAATATTGTACAGTAATTCTTTGTTTTTTTAAATTTTTACTAGGCTTTTAGGCAATCTACACACAAAAAATATAATTGTTAAAGAAAAAAAATCATATATCTTATTTTCAGGTGAAAACAACAAAAGGAATCCTTCTCTTTCTTCTCTTGTGCGTTCTCTCCAGTGTCATTATTCTAATCATTTGTGTCGGAGCCATCTGGGTTCACAGGTACATAAATACAAGAGTTTATGCCGTAGGGGTGTTTATTTTAAGAATTACAGGGGTGTATAATTTCTTGGTAAATTTTGTTCCCCACCCCTTTATGAAAATCCCCCCCCCCATAAATTATGCAGGGTTGTATATTTTGGAAATTTCAGCTTTTTAATATTGCAGTTTTAAATTAATTTTCTAATTAGTGCCCTTTTAAACGTTTGTATTTAGTTCGTGTTTTCTTTTTTTCTTATTTCTGTGTTTTTTGCCTTGACATAAATCGGAAATACGTTTTTTTGACATTGCAATGTGAGAAAATTACCATTAAGTTTATTAGGATTAAAAATTGAAGTTTGCTATAAAAATCAGAGGTGTTGTGTGTGGTTCTTGAAAACCTAATTACTAGGATATTGTCGTAATAATTTTTAATTGTTTATTTTTTTTTTACAGATTGTTTAAGAGAGCTCGTCTGGTGCGCGACAATTTGTCTGGTTCCTTTCAGTTTAATTCTGGTGAAGAGAAACAGATTCTTTACGGTTCTGATCAAACAACCTGTCATAGCATTCAGGTANGGAGCTTAATTCCTCAGTGATGGGAGGGAAATCCTATAAAATGTAAATAGACACGAGGAGGACAGTGTCAATTTTAAAAATTGCTCAGATCATCAGCAAATATGAAAAAAAATTCACCCTTTTCTGTTTTTACTTAGTCGTCCTATACCTTCCACTTTAGGCCCCCTTTTCAGATTTATAATTTTTCTCTTAAATAATTATATCAACGGACTTACCCTAGCCAAACAACTAACACAGCCTATTTTATGCAAATTGTTTTCTTGCTTCAGGATGATGAACCTCAGTACGCTGAAATTGCTGATATCCATCCTCCGCCCCGCGGAATGGAATCCATGTTAGATCTCGAGACAGGAAATTTATCCGACCTGACGGACGTGACGACCCTTCCGAAGTCGACAACCACGACCCTCCCTTCACTAGAAGCAAACACTCTACCTCTGCGCCGGGATATTTTAAGGAGTGAAGGGGAGAATGATAAACTACTCGAGGTTGGGGAGGATAAACTGCATGAGCGAGGGAGGTATAGTATACGGATGTCTATGTCTGAAACTTCTCTGACAGATGAGATCATGATGGCACTGAGAGAGAGATTAAATGATCCCTCCATGTACTGCACTGTATTGGATGCTAAAGGGGGAGGGTTCAGTGGTTCTCTGATGCCCTCTGGAGGAACTTCTAGTAGTAAACCACAAGAAGAAGAGCTGTACTGTGCCCCAATATATTGTGATCCAAATCAGCTGAATTAAAATGGCGCCACAACAGCTGATTTAAAAGGGCGTAAAGAACTGATTTAAAAGCGGCTAAATTGGCTGTTTAAACCGGCCCCAAAAAGCAGAAAGAATTTAAAGAAATGTTATATAACGTTTTCACTGTAACAGTTCAGTTCAGTTTAGTTCAGTTAACAATAGTGAACAAAGTTATTTCACAAGTTATTTCCTTTGGTCGTAACGTATAATATGAATGACTGCTATTACTATTTTGTGAGCTTTCTTTGTTTAAAAATTAAGTCCTACTAAGTTGCCATATAAAGTGGAAGAGGTGGGCATTTTGGAGTTTTGATACTTTTATACTTTTATACAAGATAAAAGTGTGCCTTACAAAAGCACGGTAACGTTGGCAAACATTTTATACATGTTTTTACTCTTTATGAAGTACTCTTGATATAGCACAACTATTTCCGGTATCTGTTTACTATTTAACATCATATTGTACACAAAGTTGTGAATTATATTCAAAATACAGTACAATAATTTGTGTACATTAGTATGTACAATGTACATACAAGAAAGAAATTGACTTGTCAAGGAAAAACTTAATTGGTTTTTGTACATTTTTACCTTTTAAACTTTAAATAATCATGTTAAGTTTCTTCTTTAAGTTTAAAGAATAATTTTTTCGCCGTCCGGATTAAGATGTTCATTAAATTCTTCTGTCTTCTGGAAACTTTTCTGCTCATTAGTATGTACAATGTACATACAAGAAAGAAATTGACTTGTCAAGGAAAAACTTAATTGGTTTTTGTACATTTTTACCTTTTAAACTTTAAATACATTCAGAAAAGAAACACCTATATGTAAATAGTTAAAAATCAAAATATTTAAGTGATACCTATACAATACATATTATGTTGCCTTGTGAATTTATTTCTCGTAAACCTGAAATATGTTTATTTTTGTCTCGTTGAATATTATTTTTATGCATTAAATTTGAATACAAATTGATTTATGTGATTATCTAGATTGTCATCGAATTAATATTTTAAAAGAATGTCATCACCATCCAACTAATGCTTATGCCATTGTTATCAGGACAGAGAGAAATTTAAGAAAATGCAATTATTTAAAAGGTATCACCCCTAAAAAACTTTAGTGAGATGCAAAAAATTATTTATCTAAATATTCAAGTAGAAAAGAATTAATTTATCGAAAAAATAAGATATACAAAGTCTTTTAGGGGCCATTTTCATGAACAATTATCTCCCTCAACCTCCTGATCATTAAGGATGCTTTTTCACTTTTTATTAGACTTTGGAATTGACAGGGATTTAATGGGTGAATCTAGAAAATAATTCTCTGGACTACCTCTACATTCATCCCGTATTTTGAGAGCCCACACACTCTCCATAGGGAATTATTTTTTACCGTTAGTCCGCTCCCTTATGTAGATCTTGTACTTGCCCTCGCACCTTAATTCATAGGATTCCTCACCTTTCATACTATTGGAGCTAAACCCTATTTCTCATTATAGTTATTGTGTATTGCAGAAAACCTATGATCTGAGTGATTTGAGCTTAATCCTTCCTCCTGACGTGATCCGAAATAAATCCTTTCTTTAGTGATCTTGATGTGAATGAAGCTAAATAACTTTTTTTTGTATTGGGAGTCATATTGGAGCTATATTATTTCTCATTGGCGTGTGAAGCTAAATCCCTCCTCCTGGTGTGATAGGAGCTAAATACCTCATCCTGGAGTTATGGGACTACACTTAAATTTGCAGAAAATTTAAAAATAGCTCCAGTCCGAAGGTTTTAATATTTTCCGGACTCTAGGTTTCTACAATGCCGCAAGATATTTTCAGTTTTCCAGTTTATTTTCGGGCCCATGCTTTCTATCTGTCTGTAGGGGATGTAAGTAGTCGTGATTTTTTAATCATTTTCTCCCTGATTTGTGCTGCATAATATTCTACCATTAAAAACTAACATTACGTAAAAGGTTTCTCTAGAAATTATTTTATTCTGGGGATTACATGTATAAACTAGGATTGCTTGAAAAAAGGATTAAATTCATGGCCTGTTTGTTTAGTTTAAACTTATGTACATTTGAATATTCGTACTGAAGTTCTATTTAATACTAATTGAATGGCCCGGCGTTGCCCGCGGAAAAAAATTTGATAAAAAATGATTTTTTTTAGCCTAAAACACCCCCCTGGCCTCCCATGAATGTCCACAAAAATTGTCAGCCCAATCGGTTCAGCCGTTTGTCTTGCTATAGGCAACATTATAACATATATATACGAATGTCTTGTTTTATTATATAGATCGATTTACAAGTTAAAACGATAAACTTATAAACATAAAACCTTCTTTATTCTTCCCAATCTCAGCGAGAAATTAACTATAGATTTTTTACTAAAACCTTAATTAATTTTGCAGACAATATGTCTACATCTGTGTGTTATAAGTGTGACAAGCCAGGTCACTTTGCTCGTGAATGCCCCGAGGGAGGTGGACAGCAGAGGGAGGTTATTTGTTACAGATGTGATAAACCTGGACATTTTGCCAGGTTAGTTTTTCATACCCAAGGGTTTAGGGGTTGATAGAGATGAGCTTGCTTCAGTAACCCAGTGTTTTTAAAGTACACAAGGAAATAATTGTTTTACAGTAGAAATTATTAATTTTCAGGGGTAAACATGTAATATTCGGTCTAAAAGTTACAAAAAACTTGGTGCCGTTATTGTCTAATAATGCTCCCCCGCCCCTATTTTTAAAAATCCGTTATTATCTTTATAAAAATATAAACGTTGTCTGTATTCTTCTTATTTGAATTCTTTTTTTTCTTAATGCATTAGTTTTCTGTTTGTAACATAAGTATTAAGTATTAGCCTAGGTTATACAAAAGAGATCCATTATAAATAAATAAAAGATTTAAAATTCGGTGATGGTGATGGACGCAACCTCTGTAGAGTAAAAAAAGTAGATGTTAGTTCCATCTGTCACAAGGATTAAAAACAAATAAATAAATAAAATATCTTGAAACATGAAGTAGGACGAGAACTAGCATCATGTTAAGTTTCTTCTTTAAGTTTAAAGAATAATTTTTTCGCCGTCCGGATTAAGATGTTCATTAAATTCTTCTGTCTTCTGGAAACTTTTCCACTTTGTAAATCGTAATGGTTATGGAGGGAAACACAATATCTAATATGTATTTAATCTTTGCAAAATGCAAGTACTTATTTTTACAATATAAAAGGATTAATTTTCATCTTTTGCTTTTAGGGATTGTCCTGAGGAGAAGGAGGAGAAGGGTGAGAATGGAGAGCATGAAGAGGAGAGAGGAGAACGTGAGGAGAGACGAGGTGGAGGCCGAGGAGGACGTGGTGGACGAGGAGGACGAGGAGGCCGAGGAGGAGGAGAAAGGAAGGATACTCGGCAGAGGGAGTACGGAAGCGGAGGAGGGTTGAAGTGCTACAAGTGCAACAGATACGGGCACTTTGCGAGGGAGTGCAAGGAGGAGGAGGATAGGTGCTACAGGTGCCATGGTAAGATTTAATTATTCTTTATTCATATATTCTTCCGATATGTTAATTGTCTTGATCCACAAAGCAATTTTTTTAATTTCCGGGAATATTCATAAAACGAACTAATCTAGGGGACAGTCACTCCGGCCAATATAGTTAGACCCTCTTGGGTGTTCGCGTTTTTTTGTTGTTGACATTTTGCACATTGATATAGGTATCTGCACANTATCATTTTTGATCCTTTATACATGAAAATGTATTTATTTATTTCGTAAACCTACACAATCGAAATATTTGGTACAATTAGACAGACATAAAAAATTATAATGGAACAAATATCAAGAGCATATTTAGGGGAAATATTTTCCCCTATCTTCTCACATACTATAGAGCACTATAGACTGTACTTTTACTCTTATCGGACATACATCCCGTAACTGTACCCAGGACGGTGACCAACCGACCTGTTAACTTTTAGCTCTTTGTGCACTATTGTGTGGTTTAGTTCTATGCTGTTGTACTGTATGTATTTGTTAAGGTACTGGACATATTATCCCGTAACTGTACCCAGGATGGTAACCAGCCGGCGGCTACATCCTTTTTCGCAGTGAGTAGCTAAATTCCACTTTCTCAAGTGGTNGAGTAAACTTTTACCTCTTTGTGTACTATTGTGTGGTTTAGTTCTATGCTGTTGTACTGTATGTATTTGTTAAGGTACTGGACATATTATCCCGTAACTGTACCCAGGATGGTAACCAGTCGGCCTCATCCACTTACAACTGTACTTTTAGCTGTTCGTGTACTATTATGTGCTTTTTGTCTGAAACTCTTGTACGTATTTGTTAAGGTACCTGACATATTATCCCGTAACTGTACCCAGTTACAATTACCACTGTACTTTTAACTCTTCGTGTACTATTTTATGCTCTAAGTTCTGTGCACTTGTACTGTATGTATTTGTTAAGGTACCGGGCATATATCCCGTAACTGTACCCAGGACGGTGACCAGCCGACCTGTTACAACTGTAACAAGATCGGTCACATTATCAAGGTAAAAGTATTCAAACAATTATCTAAAAATCATTCCCGGGCCTCCTTTTTTAAAAACATTTTTTTACCCAGAAGTATATGTGCTTTTTTGGTTTAAATCTCTGAACTGAGAATAATAAATGATTTTAAGGGAGAAATCAAAGAATTTTTGGGTAAAAAGTATCAAAAAGAATGATAAAAATTTGTATTTAACGTCAAATTTTTTTATTATATTATTTTGTTTACTTGCTTAAGAACGTGATCAGGAAAATTGCATGGGGACGTTGCTGTATCAATAAAATAAATGATTTCAAGAGGAAATTAAATGAATTATTTTATACGTAGTATAATAAAAAGACAATTTACTTCTAATTATATCCATGTTTTCTCTATTCTCTAACAAAACTTATTTACACTGTTTTGTATTCAAGAGCCACTCAAGTCTAAAAGTTGCGGGGTTAAAATTATTTCAAAATTCAAACCTCGCACAAAGTATATTTTTCAGAAATTAATAAAGAAATTTGCCTTTTCTTTTTATAGCTTTTAGAAATCTTAAGTTTTGTTTTGTTTTAGGACTGCCCCAGTGCTGGAACTAAGACCTGCTACAAGTGTGGAGGCATCGGGCACATCCTCAAGGATTGCCCCAGCGCAGCGGCTAGAGCATAATACAGGTAATTTGAATAACAAATTTCGAAGTTTACAAAAAAGTTCTAGATTGACAATAATACTATTATCACTAGAATTCCAGAATTTTTCATTGTGGAAAAGAAAGAAAACGAAAATAAACTTCTTAATTAAAATTAAAAGTTAAGAATAACCTGAGAATTACAGACCTGTCTCTTAAACCTCTATTCCATGTAAGATGATGGAATCCATCATAAAAGACAACTTTATGGATCATTTAATTAGTAATCAGCTGATGAAGGATACCCAGCAAGGATACCATTAATTTGTTGGAATTTTTTTAATTTGTTACCCAAGAGTTTAACAGTGGTCATCCACTAGATGTAATTTATCTGGACTTCAGCAAGGCATTTGACTAAGTGCCGAGGCTGAGACTAATAGAAAAGTTAAAATCCCATGCTGTCATTGGTAGAACATAACAGAACTGGTTTACAAACCGTAAACAAAAAACAAGGGTAAATGGAGAATTCTCTGATTGTGTGATGTCGAGTCAGGGTTCCCACAAGGTACAGTCCTTGGCCCCCTTGGATTCCTAGTATACATTGATGATCTTGGCACTGTATCCATCTTAATTAACATTACTCGGAAGTTTGCTGATGACCCCAAACTAGCAAAACAATTTGCAGTGCTGATTATGCTACAGCACTGCAATCTTGTTTGGATAAACTTGTTGTTTGGGCGGACATGTGGGGAATGCAGTTTAATATTAGCAAGTGCTAAGTTATGCATATTGCCCGTTCAAACCCATTTAACACATACTTTATTTATTATCTTGTGATCAAGAAAAAGACATTGGAATTATTATTCACAAAACTTTGAAAGTATACTACACAGTGTGCAAGTGCTGCATTAAATGCTAACATAGTGCTAAGTGAAATGATCTTCCTTCCAGAATTAAAGATGCGAGCTCTGTTATCAGTTTTAAACAAAGATATGATGAATACTTCTTTCAAACTTAATTAAAATTGGTATAATGTATGTTATTATTAAAATGACGACAGGAACGGATTTTACTTGCTTATGTAATATGTTTATTAGATGGAATATGACAAAAAAAGAGGAGAAACATCTATGTCAAAAAAGAAAAAAAAAATGTCACGGAATGAATAAAGGAAAAAGACGAGGGAAAAAAGATAAAACATAAAAAACAAGAATTTAATCAATAAAACAAAACAAACAAAAAATGTGATGCCATTAAAAAAAAACCATCTTTTGTATTATTCATATGTACATGTATTAAATCTGCCTTATTTTTTCTGTTCTGACAAGAAAACTTAAAATGCAGATTTATTATGTTAACCACTGTAATTTCTACTACATCCCTTAAGGGGTCCTTGGAGTAATCCAAAAACTAGACTAAAATAAATTAAAATTTGGATAATTTAAAATTCAGACTAAAAATAAATGAGTTTTTGGGTATAAAGTATCAAAAAGAATAAAAACCTGCCTTCGAATGTCCAATTTGTCATCATGTTTTCATCGTCACAGCCGTTTAATTTTTTAAATATTTAAAATGTTTTAAATGTTTTAGACGAGTTTATGTAAAGAGTGCAGTCCAGGAGAAAGATCATCGTGGAAAATTCATTCTTCTCTCAGGAAACCAATCCAAATTTTAATCTTTAACTTTTAAAATATTGATACAAACTTTAATATGTAACATTCAAAACCTTGATCCAAACTTTAATCTTGAAAAAACCAAAACTTGATTCAAAATTTAACCTCAGTCAGTCAAAACCTTTATGAAAATTTTATCTTTACCATTCAAAACCTTAATTTAAACTTTAATCATGAATAAAACAAAACCTTGATCCAAACTTTAATCTTTAACATTCAAAACATTGATCCAAACTATAACAATCCCTTTAATATTATTAAGTTTGGTTGGTTTAGGCTCAATTTAACATATGTACTGTTTACATCCTTCATACTGCCCATATTTCATCAACTAGCGTTCCGTCTTCTCTGTTTTGATGGAAATCCAGTAGACCAGTTCCCATCGTTCTAGAAAAATTCTCAGTGTTCCATTCACCCCTCTTCTCCGTTCCTTAAATTCTATAAAGAACATAAACCTGTGCGTTTTTTATGTAAAAAAAAGCTTTAAGAACGTAATTGTTAAAAAAATTTAATATTATGCATCACATAGTGAGGAAATGACATCAATTTACGCATGAAATTATAACATTTTAAATTTACTGCTCGAACAAAAAATGATTAACTGCTAAAATTTAAAATCCTTGAACAATCAATCAAAACTGGAAATTTTTCTATCAACTATCAATTAAGATATTTAAACAAATTTGAAAATAAATCCGATTTATTTTTCTTCAGATTCAAGGAAAAAAAATTTCAATAGAAATGGAGATTAGTGAAAGCCGCAACTACAAGTAATACAAATGGATTGTAGAAAACATGGAATGAAATTCCTTTTTCACAAATGAGAAAAAACGTATGAAATGATAAACACAACCAGACCATGAAGTACTGCAACTGTTCGCACATTTTGAACTTTGTTACAGTACAATATATTATGGTAACTGTACCTCTATGTGGAATTGACTTGCTTCGCTTAACCAAATACACTACGTTTAAAAAAACTTGTATTATTAGAAAAGTTAAGTTTTTTAGAACATTGTCTGATGGCCATTGCCCTGTGTTCTAAAACTAGAAAAAGATTGGGGTTTGTAAAATTTTAATTTTATTTAAATATTTTTTTTTACTCCGCTTCAGAAAATTCTATTATGTATAATGGTACTCAGGAATTTATTTGTCTAGGGGGCTTATTTTTTTTCGTTTTTTTTGAGGGGGGGGCGTCACCGTTTGGGCCTTCACCCCCCTGGAAACTTAAGATTTCATTGATCCATGGCTGAACCCCAATAGCACCCTCCCCCCTTCGAAATTTATGATTATTGATTTCTCACCTAGGTGGCCGAGAAGCTTATGGTAAAATAGATCCAAACCTCTAACCGCGGCGCTAGTTCTTAAAAGTTGTTTAGTTTTTTGAAAAAATCCCCCTCCCCTCTTCATAACCATTCCCTTGTATATTTGCTGAATTGAGTGAACTTATTGGCTTTTATGGTAAACATCTTTTTTCCTTTGTAAGGGTTTATAATTGAATTTTTGGTTTTAAGTATGGAGCAAAGGGAAAGGGAGGGGGGGGGGGCTGGGTTGAGGAACTACTGATTAGGGATTAAAGTTTAGCGCATGGTTTAGTTCAATCCTAAGGTTGATTTCTAGGAAAAATAAAACTATAGAATGATATTTCTTCATAAAATTTAAAAGATAATTTTCAACTTGTTTTGATTTAAGGGAGAAGATTGATCTGCTAAATCTTTATATTCTTAAATACTTTTATGTTCAAACTGTTATGTACATTTGGCTTGTATCTTCCGCTATTTAATTATTGGAAATTATAAACGAGACGCAGAAAATCAAAACAATGTTGCGTACGTTCAGTGTTATTTTTTACAGTTTTAAAAATTATTTGCAGAATTTTGAGGAATAGCTCCGAATTCAGCCCCCATGCCCTGTAAACAAATCATTAAAAAATTGTTGATATATATTACATTTAGTTGGGAACATAATCATACTTCCAAGTAATCGACTTTAATCTTAATTTTCAGCTTTAAAGTTATATACAAGCTCTTATTCAATTTAGTGAATAAATTAAGAGATTAAAAGATTGGACTTAAAAATAAAATTTTAAGACTGTGAGAAACATAACGTGTTCCATAGAAAAACAACATTTTAGCATTATTTAACTATATTCGATATTCCAAAGCGAATAGTTATGATAGTTACATATTTTTAATCATTTATGTGATGAAATGGTTCTGTTTACACTGCACAATTGCTGTGTCTCATGTTCATTGAATTATTTAAAGTCTCATGTTTATTGAACTATTTAAAGTCTGCTTCCATAGTTTTCTGGTTCTCACAGTACACTTATTGCTATTCAAAAGCTTAAAAACTTAAAGTTATGGGCGAATTCGGAAACGTCTTCTAAAGATAGATTTTCCTTCGGGACTTTATTTAATCGATATGTTAAAAGAATTTCTATAGACTTCTATAGTATTAACAGTCTTTAAGGCGTATATGTACATGGAGGGGGGGTAGAAATCAATCAATATTCTTCTTGAAACCAAAGTAAAAAATCGAATGTGGGATTTCTTTTAATCTTATCGAGGGTGTATATTTACTTGAAAATATACACCCCCTTTTGAAAATAATGTTTTACTCAGAATGTATGTTTGCGTTGTGCAAAATTTAAATCAGCTGTTGGCTATTTATTCGCTGATATGGAAAAATATTATGTTTCGGGAAAAAAAATTTCGGGTAAAAAATCAAGAATTTACATAGTTCATCCAATTTAGCTTAGAATGGTTAAAAGGTCAAATATGGCGGGGAAAAAAACAGTAAAATAGCCCCAGGCCCATTTAGATAAATATTTTAAAATGCAAAAAAAAATGTATTTGAGCTTTTACCCTTATGCTTTCTAAGAACGGGTTGCACTTCTGGAAATTTTTTTCAGGGGCACCCCGCCCCCCCGCACTCCCGGCTCTTCCCATATAAAAACCATTTTGTAACCCCCCTTATGTGACTTTATATTTACAAATAGTGTAAGCTACACATTAATAAAGAAACTGGTGAGAGTGGAATCATAAACAAAACACATTTTAAATTAAATCCTAGTAAAATATCAGGTTCCATGCGTTCACTACTAACAGCAGCAGGATTGAGTTGAATTCAGTAATGATTAAAGGGAATAGTGATGCAAGGTTATGTGACCCGAATCAAGGGTAAACCTGTTTTACAATGTTAAACTGTAAACCTTTGTCAGATCTAACATGATGGAGTTATCCCTGCTCTTCTTTATTAAAAGTCATTATTTTCTGTAGATGTGACTTGCGGAATTTTTAATACAAAAACAAAGGAAAACGATTTAAAAACTATTGAGCTAGAAGAGCAACAATATCTTTCCCAATATTGATCTGATAAAGGTTAAGAAAGGTACCGTTGTTAATCAGGAATAAAACTCTTTAAATAAAGGGTCACTTGAAATTTATATTGATGGTTTCCTATAGCATTATTTTAAATCATATGTACGGGACACAAAATTAAACCTTGATTTAAACCATTGGAATAGATTTTAACCCTAGGAATAGATATTTTAACCCTTGGAATAGATTTTAACCCTTGAAATATATTTTAACCCTTGAAATATATTTTAACCCTTGAAATAGATTTTAACCCTTGAAATATATTTTAACCCTTGGAATAGATTTAAACCCTTGGAATAGATTTTAACCCCTGGAATATTTTTTAACCTTTGGAATATATTTTAACCCTTGAAATAGATTTAAACAGCTGAATCGTCAGAATTAAGGTGTTTCAGGTTGTTATTAAAGTCTCTACTTTTATAAGTAACCCTGTTTATCTTTTAATTAGTTTTAGACTTTTGAAATATCTGCTTTAGTCCTTTAATTTTACTTTTTTCTTGTATTTGACTTTCAAAATGTGGTCCTACTTTTGGTCAATTAAAAATTAAAATTGAGAGAATAAAGACAATGAATTCAAACTCAATTTTCAGTTTTAATCTGCCCTCAGGAAAACTGATACTTAAAAACGATGTCAAATTTCAGGATTAACCATGGTCAATCGCTCGAGAGAGAAAAAAGGGGGGGGAGGTACAATTTTTAAAGGTTGAGTAGAACTTATTTAACATATTCTAACATACTTTTAATGGTGTTTTTTCTTTAAAAACTAACAAATACTTTAATATTATTATTTGATGAAAGGTACTAGAAAATTTAAGTTGAGTACATTTTTTTCAATTCTAAAATTATTGGTGAAAAAATATTAAAAAATGAAGAGTATGGTTTATCATCAGGTAGTTCAGATTAGCCAATATATTAGTATTAAGTTTTGATAAGATGGTAATTGGATCCTTTGTAATGTGTCCTTACTGCGACCCAAACTATTTGGCATATCCTAATCTCAAGGTATACTTTTCCTAATCTCAAGGTATACTTTTCCTAATCTCAAGGTATACTTTTCCTAATCTCAAGCTAATCTCAAGGTAAAATTATCCTAATCTCAAGGTAAAATTATCCTAATCTCAAGGTAAAATTATCCTAATCTCAAGGTAAAATTATCTTAATCTAAAGGTTTGCTAACCCTAATTCTCAAGGTAGATTTATCCTAATCTCATGGTATAATCATCCTAATCTCTAAGTATAATTATCAATTTTTAATACTGCTGCAGCGTATTTGTAAATTTTAAGCTTCCTTTGTCAAACTCAAGTATCTAATCAGCAATTTAATGAAGTTTAACTGTTTTTTCTTTAATATTTGAATAAAGTTTGAAATGAAAAAACTTCTGAACTTAATAAAAAGACTACGGTTGTCTTTGTATCTTAGAAAAACAATTAAACCTTAGATTCTTTCATGAAAAAGTGCCTAATATTTGAATTATAATTGAAGGTAAGAAAGTTGGCAGGTAAACTAGAAAATATCTAAGGGATATATATTTTGCTTAAAACCATATCTCAAAAAACAGTTTTTCCGTCTTTTAAAATTATGATGAGGGGGAGGGTTAAAGAATAAAACTTTTTCCCTCTATANTATTATACCCATTTAATCTTAAATGATTTTTAAGGAACCTTGTAGAGGTTATGATCTGCCCATGGGAAACCCAAATCCTGACAGAGGAAAAACAGATCCAGGAATTAGGTGGGGAAAATAAATGAAATTTAATTGTGTAAGAGTTAAATAAGAAATTCTTTTTCAGAAATCAGATATTTAATCCCATGATACAAAATGCAGATGGGTACTATGCTATGAGGGTAATCAATACACCCATTAACAATATTAAACTTAATATCTTGAGAATTTTTCTTTTAAATTTAATTTTCAAGGCAGGGTTTCTGACTGCAAACATAATGATAAAGGTAAATTTTTAATATTTTGAAGAGAATATACTTTGTGAATTCATCTTATCTTATTTAGTGTGATGCTAGCTGGAATTCAGAAGTTTTTGATAACTTTAAGGATTATGTGAAAGGATTGCAAATATGATTATTATTTTTTTCCAGTAGATTTGAATTGATAATACATATGAGATCAGACAATAACGTTAGCTTCTGAAATATCTGCAATTAAAGAATCACATGAATTTGTCTGATAACTTGCCAGTCAATCTCAATATATAATAAAGCTCTTCGCTCATATATATTTGTTTGTACATAAGTTAGTTATAGTTGGCCAAACGGCTGGACCGAATGAGCTGAATTTTTTTCGAGGGAACCTATGAGTATCCGGGGTTTAACACAGGCTAAATTTTTTTCTGCAACATTCGCTTTTAAAAAATTCCACGGGCAAGGCCAGTCACTTCAGTTGGTTTATTTTATTTTTCTGTAAATCTTTGAAAAGTATTTCCAATAAATCTATATGATATAAATTCCTGATACTTTAATGATAATCTATTTGATGAAAATGGATGTTAATCTGACAACAATGATCGAATTTACTGATAATTATATAATTATTATGAAACAGGAAAGGCTTCGTCCTTGACAACCGGAGTGGGAATATCATTGACTCCAGAGGTTGATTTAAATGCTGGTGCTCTGGGTATGGATGCTCAAACAAAGGTTTCATTTATATACTAATTTACATTCAACCTGATTTGAATTGTAAAAAATTAATTTGGATAATTGCATCTAAACCTTTTACTATTTGTTGAATTTTTGGTTAGTTTTCTCATACTTTTAGATTCCTTCAATCTTCAGTCGAAGCTCTGGTGCTGGAGGAGATGTAGAGAAAACCAAAGATTTCTTTACCAAGGAAACTTTGTAGAAAATTTAATTTTTCAATCAATTTCAAAATAAAAGCAGTTTTAATTTTATAAATTTTTAATGTTTACTTTTAAATATTCCTGTGTATAATTTCAGAGCATGTATATATAGCATTAATTTGATTGACAATAATAAAAGATAACTTAGATGATTGTTAAGCCTTTAATAGTTTTCTTATAATTTTTACCCAGGAAAGAGGATCCATAGCAGTTTCCGAAGCAATTTGCATTACTCAAAGGTAATAAGCCAGTCAGTTTTACAAAAAAACTTTTTTTACAGTTTTTTTGTTTTTTAAATTATCAAATATACAAATAAAAACAAGCTCCTGTTAAGATTTTTGATTTGTTTCTTCAAAATGTTATCTTAGTTTGAATGAATGTTGTTAAGGGTGGATATAAGTGACAGATCAAAGAAAATGTTGTTAAGGGTGGATATAAGTGACAGATCAAAGAAAATGTTGTTAAGGGTGGATATAAGTGACAGATCAAAGAAAGCCTTCATGGCTCCATTTGAAAGTATTGTCCAGCTTCTTTACAAAACAACTGCAGCTGATAATGCGTAAGTTTATCTAATTTCTACCTTTTTTGTAATTCTATTTAGAGCTAGGGCCGGGCAATATTCTTTTAACAAATAGTATTTTTTTTAAATCAACTCATCAGTGATCATTCTGTTTAAAAAAAAATAATAAAAACAGTTGATTTCCAGTTTGAACAAAAAAATTACCTCCAATGAAACTAAAGGAAGGTTTTTAAAAAGTAATGGAATTTAGTCTCGGCCACAAACTGTGATTTTCCAATCCCTATATTTTTGCAACCTGATGGTGATAACCTTTGATATTTCAACCTTTGATACGTAAAGATATAGGTAGGGATTTTAAAATCATAGTTTGTGGCCAAGACTCCATTTCATTAGACCCAAAATATTCATCAATAAATGTATTGAATTTGCTTTTATGTGTTTTTTAACCTACCTAAAATTAAAAATAATATTTTTGGATTTTACACTAAAAATTCTTAAAGAGAGAGAAGTACAACTCTTCTTGGATTCATGTTACCGAACTAAACAAATTTTACGGTGAAATTTAATAATCATGAAGTTTGGAAAATCTTCCCTCAATGCTGTTATAGGACGAAGCTGAAAGTTTTTAAGGGATTTGTAAGAGAGTTTGGGACTCATTATTCCTCAAGCACAGATATGGGGACTAAGCTTACTATAGAGCGAAGATATACTTCTCAAGTAAGACTTTGAAAATGAAGAATTTGTAAGTTAAATAGAATTTATGAAATATATTACAGTGACACTCTTAATAACGAATACATCTGAAGAATTTATCGAATGTCGTCTTGACAATTTTTCAATGAGTTGTATACTATATTACCTAAATTTCAGTATTTGCGAAAATAAATAAATAGCCATGAATATGCAGAAACAGTTTTAAAGAGTTCCATATAATCATTCATTTAATTAAAAAACTAAATATCTGCAACATTCCATTATGAGAAAGTGAAGAATACGACTTTCAATGTATTCGTTATTAAGGGGTTCCCTGTAGAATATTTGAATTTTTTTTCACATGGGCTTTTTCTCTATTTTAAGTTTTGCATGTTGCACAAAATTTTGTATTATTTAGCCTGCATAGCGCAACGCTAATACAGTCATTTTACAACAAAAGAATTTTAGGCTAGATGAATTCTGACTGCAAGACAAATTATAATCTAATCTATCTTAACCAGGAGAGATCTGAGGCTGGGAAAGATGAGATAAAAGCTTGCAACACATTGGTTGGAAGCCAACTTTTCGGCTTTCAAGTAATGTATAACTACAGAATTTGTTTCCGAACTTGTTCATTAATATGTGTGCCAGGACAGATTTTGCAAATAAGGACTTTTCTGGATGTATGTAAGCCTAAAAAGACAAATTATTAATAGAATCCAGAATTGCTTTAAATGAGATTGAGTTCTTTGTGTTTCCTTTTCCCCAGAATTTGTTTATGGTCACAAATTACAAATGTTTTATTCCTTTTAGACTGAAATTAATGAGATTAACTGTACAAACAACAACCTAATGTAAGTTTAATTCTTTATTTTAATATAAGTAGGGGGGGGGGGACTAGTCAAATGGTGAATCAATAAATCATGCCTAAAACAAAAAGACGAAATTTCTCTTCCGTCCTTCATAATGATAGTAGACAAGGTTCAGTTACATTTGCTTATAATACTTTTGCCATTGCCATAATTACACTTGCCATAGTTATACTTCCCATAAATAATTTTGCCCTAAGTTACATTTGCCATAATTTTTTAAAATCTAACTATTTTTTCTATAAATGCGCAAAATTTTCTCATGAAAATTGCTCACTTTAGTTTTCTAACAATGCTGCTGGGTGAGATATGAACACTAATATTGTTAAAAAGCTTTATTTGAAGAATCAATGACTATACAATACTTTTCCAAAAGAGCAGTAACTTAACCTTACTCCTCATGAGCTACCCTCATTTAGATCTGTTAAAGTCTCAAAAATTATAATTGTAATTGTTCAATAAAAAATTATAACTATAATTAATTATAATTATCGCAAGTGTAACCATTAAAGCAAGTGCAGCTTTTGGCAAGGGTTACTTATGGAAAACGTATTATTGTAAGTGTAGTTATGGCAAATGTATTTATGGCAAAAGTATCATGGCAAATGTAACTGAGCCTTGTGTTGTATATACAAAATGACATATTAGTTTACCTCCATTTATTGACCATAAATACAACTTCTAACTCCCCTCCTCTCCCCCTATAAGTCGTCTTTAAAAAACCCCCTCTAGGAGAAACTCCAAACCAAAGCAAGTCTCCATTCAAATTTATATGTACTTTCCAACAAAAGAAACAACAAACAGTTAAACGTTTTACAAAGTGAAAGATCAAATCCATAAATAACTTTGCAATCCATTGTAAATTTCACTTAAACAACTGGGTTTATATTTTTAGAAGTATTTACAAATGTTTTAAACTATACCATCAAACCCTCAGACCCTTCATCACTCTTTTCCCTTTGACATGACTATTAACAGATATTATTAAATTGAACTAATAAATAAATTAAATTGTCATTTATTTTTAATATACCTGCATTAATGCAGGTATCAAATACATCTATTTACTGATTATTTGCGACTACTGTGTCCAACTCCAAGTTAAGGAGCCTAACCAACAAACCAATTAACCAACAAACCAACTAGCCAATGAACCAATTACCCAACTAGCCAATTAACCAGTCAGCCAACCTAACATCTGATTATCATATCAAAACCTCACCTAGCTATGTTTCAGCACCATTATCAAACTTTTAGTATCATTGTTTGATCCTGAATTTATAGTTTACTTCAAAATAAATTTGTACCTCTTGCAGTGTAATCTGTTATGAAGAATATGAATGAATTAATTAGGAAGATGGGATCTGAATCTGATAACTTGGAGAGAACTGTCATTTCAACCTATGGAAGTTTTATTGCTGATAGTTTGATAGAATGGACTAAGGTTAATATTCTGAATGACTTTGTGTAATTTTAAATACAAGTTGTTTATAGCAAGTTGTCACCTTGGTGCAGAATAATGCTTTCGAACCACATTCCATCAAACGGAAGTTGGTTCCAATTCAAGATCTTTTTACAAGGTAATAAAAATAAAATAATTTTGTAGATGAGATTTTATAGTCCTAATACTGGTGTATCCAAAGAATCTCAAAAATGAGCCATTTAAAAAAACGTTAAGAGTGGGGGCCAAGGGGGTCCATATATTTGTTCTGCATAATAAGTGCATGCATGGTATTGTTAAGTTGTCCATGTTGGAAAATGGATGGAAAACTCTAATTTCCCAGCTATTTTGCTAACATTTTGGAAAAGCATTTTATCTGTTTTTAATTTGCTGAGCATGCCTTCTAAATGAGACTAAGATGGGGTTAGAATATAGGAAACCATTCCACCCTGGTTGACTCACAGATTCTTGTAAGGTTCACAGAATGTAGAATATGATTCTGGTTAATTTTGAGAACATTTAATACTCCTTTTTCTGTTTTCTATTTTTCTAATTATTTATAATTTTCTTTCTTTTCTAGTCAGAATTTTGATCATATTTTAATTGATGGAAAACCAATGAATGTTTCTATCATCCTACCATGGTTTACAGATCACATGGATAGGTAAAAAATTAACAGATTATGTTTACATAGCAGGTATTAATTATCTATTTTCTCTAAGATGCATTTGCTTTCTCATGAAAATTATTGTATTTTTCAAAATGTCAATTCATTTTCCACAAAAATTTAAGAAATGGGGGATATTTTTCAAGAAATGTAAGCCCCTGTAATCTGTACATTTTAAATTTTCCAACACATATTTTAATTGATTTCCAGTTGTAAAGGTACTGTTGTGGATAAACAAATACACTCATTGATTTAAAACTTAAAGTGTAAAGTCCCTTTTCTATAAAACTAAATTTACAGGTATTGTGAAATATTTGAAGTTGATTGTAACCTGACTGGTTGTGGGGTGGATGATAAATGCCCAGAAAATCAGTTTTGCGTGGATAATACAAACAAGGAAACATCATTTTCTAAACTTAGATTTAAATCCAGATTTATTTTAGTTTTATTAAAATACATATTTTTTATTTTATCAAACAAAAATTACAATTTTTTCTTTACAAAAATCATGTTTTGGAATCATAGACCCTTGGAGAAGACGGATTAAGGTCAGTAATATTGATAAATATGAGATTAATAAGATTGAATAAAAAGCCACTGCTGGCAGGCAGTAAGTCTAGTTCCTGTTGTCGTTAGATATACCTGTGCATTCAAAGAAGTTGAAGTTGTACTTTTCAATGGACAGAGTTATATTGGTAAAAAAATCTTTACAAGAAAAAAGTTACTTGAAAATAAAAATAAATGCTTTTGGAGATGCTTAAATGATATAAATCTAGTTTTTTTAAGGAGAAGTAAACATAAAGAACCTGCCCCATGGTACAGGAAAATTATTTAGAGATAAAGTATGTATTTTTAATAGAATAATTTAAAATTGTTTTTAGCAACATTGTTAAGTTGTGTTAAAAGAAAAACCTTCAATACAAAGCTGCAAGATGAGGCCATGATCTTCTTTCTAAACATACATGCTCTGCTCCCTTGACTGTATGGCATGGTTTAGACTTTATAAGCAACAGCATTATGCCCACTTGCAGCCTGTGGCACCTCAAGAGGCACATATTATGAGCAGAAAAATTCTGTTTTTTGTTTATTAAAATATTTGTTCTTAAATCTCTTGTGTCTGGTGTGGTTAACTTTTAGGTATTTTTTATGGTCATGAATAATATTAAACTGATAACAAATCTGATTTCTGATAAACATGTTAATTAAATAAAAAAGAGAAAGAAATGGGTAAATGTTCATCAGATAAATGGAATTTAACAGATATTTAGTTGGAACAATGTTATTTTTTCTTTCAAAAAGCTAGGAGAACAACTTGAGTATGTTTATTATGTTTAAGCTACGAGAACAAATGGAGTATGTTTTATTATATTTATGCTATGAGAATAACAAGAGTATGTTTATTATGTTTAAGCTACGAGAACAACAAGAGTATGTTTATTATGTTTATGCTATGAGAACAACTGGAGTATGTTTATTATGTTTAAGCTACAAGAACAACTCGAGTATGTTTATTATGTTTAAGCTTCAAGAACAACAAGAGTATGTTTATTATGTTTAAGCTACGAGAACAACTAGAGTATATTTATTATGTTTAAACAGCTACATCACAACTAGAGTATGTTTATTATGTTTAAGCTACGAGAGCAACTAGAGTATGAAGGATCTTTTAAAGATGGTCTCATGGATGGGGAAGGTACTTTTTATTACAAGGTAAATTGCATTTTGTTAGATTTTTTAGAAATAACACAAATTGAAACAATTACGTTTTATTATTTGAAACCTAGATACTTTTGATATTTTTAAGCTATTCAATTAATTTTGTCCTAGGATGGAGCAATACAGTACATTGGGCATTTTGATAAAGGAATGATAAATGGATATGGAGTACATTACTATGAGGTACTTTTTTCAGTAATGTTGGTTTTAGACTAAGCATATGTTATTTTAGAATGGTTGGGTTTGTATTTTTTAAATGAATATTTTGTTTAGAATGGCCGGGTTATGTATGATGGTGAATGGAAATTTGGAAGTTTTGTTAAAGGAAAATTATTTACTGAGGTACAAAATAAGATTTACAAAAATCAATAAAATACATCCAACTTTTATTTTAGGAAGGAGATTTATTCAATGAATATTTATGATGGAACATTGCAAAATTAAAGAAATAAATACTTGACCATACATACTTTAATGATTAATCAGTTAAAACTGGAATACTGATGAAAAACATAAATTTTTGAATACAGTTTAATTTTTTTTCAATTTTGAAGATTTGAAGATTATTGTTTAGTTTCCAAGTTAAATATAGTATTTCAATCATACAGTCATAAAAAATAAACAGATAAAATTACAAGAATAAAAGACCCTTTCGTGCGATTTTGCTTAAAATTGAACCAATAATTTAAAGTTATTGTTTTTAATATTAACCCTACACAAAATTACAGCTTGCATAAATATTCATAATTTAAGGTTGAATGAATAACAAAGCCTAATCATACTTCATTTACTTATAGTTGGAAGTAATCATCAACAATTAAAACAATTATACTAGTGTAATTTAGTAGTTTCTCTGAGTTCTGTGTTTTTTTCATTCCAGTACAATATTATTTTTTTAAAATTTAGATTAACTCTTTATTTGATTGTTAGACCATTAAGTTTTTGTATATTTTTGATTTTACACTGAAACTGAATAAATATTTGCAAATAAATTAAAATATTTTTGGTTAACAACTCAAAATTTAGATTTTTGAAAGCATTAAGTTAAATTTTATTTAACAAAAATTCTAAACAATCATTGTTAAGACATATAAACAATCTTTTTGTATTTAAATAGTTATTTGTTTAAGACAGGTTAAGTTATTCTTTTTCCTTTGTATTTATAAAATAATGTTGAAATATATTAACTTCATAGATGTTACATGTCTCAAATTTGTTCAATCATGTTCATAAATATTGAATTTATAAGGTCAGAAATACGATATAATAAACAATTCTGATAATATTCGCATTTATGTCTTTAATCTGAAAAACATTTAATCACAATTGTTTATAAAGATGTACTAAGCAGGAGGTTCATCATTGTCATTTCACAAATATTCATTAAACAATTCACCTTCCTAAAATTATCAAACAATTTTTTTTAGCAAATTTACAATTAAAGTTTTTTACCTCAGTAAACAATTTTCCTTTGATAAAACTTCCAAATTTCCACTCTCCATCATACATAATTTTACCATTCTAAACAAAATATTCATTAAAAAGGGTGCAAAGTGAATTGTTTTTCAGGACAATGATCAACTGATGATATTTTTTCTTGAAAAAGTAGATAACTCTTTGGGAAGTATGAGGAAATAATAACTTTGAATATTATTATTTAGCTTTGCCCAACAAATTATTATTAAATAACAATAGCATGTAAAAATCTTTGTGGCTTGTGATAACCTGAAAGTAATGTACTCCATATCCATTTATCATCCCTTTTGTAAATTGTCCGATGTACTGTACTGCCCCATCCTAGGTCAAATTTTCTACAGGGGTCTACACTGTACAGTACAAAGTTTTTATATCTTGATCCCATGAGATAATTTTGAATTCTCTCTTATATTCCTTTTTTTTCTCTTCTTCAATTTAAAAATTATCTTCCTTGACTTTCCTGTTCCAGACATGGTAAAGAAACAACTTACTAGGAAGGAAGGAATGTAGGACAAACAAAGGACAAGACAAATGTAGGATCAGACAAACATAGATAAATACAAAACATAGGACAGGGTATATTATCTAACAGAGACAATTGTGGGACAAGACTTAACTAGTCAGGACAGGTCAAAAAAAATTTATAAAAATTTTACTTCAAAAGTCCTGATCTGTGTGAGTGAAAAAAACAGAAGTTTTCCAATTATCAAAAACCTTCATTTAAAAAAGTTGCCAACACGAGCAAGGTAAGTCCTCTTAACCAGGGTGGAAATATTGAAGTCAAAGAGAAAACAGAAAATCATTGAAAGTCTCTAATTTTGTAAATGTCAAAACAAATATGATTTTTCAGCATATAGAAATGAACATAATGACAAAGTTTCTTTAGTTTTTATTTCATCCTTTCCCATGGTTTTCATTGTTTTAAGTTGGACTCTCTTTTGCTTTTCTTGACCCACATTTGTCTTGTCCTGGTACCAAAGGTACTGCACACTAGAGATGTCAATGATAGTGTAACGTAACGTAAAATGTACGTTTTTGTACGTTACGTGTCAATAATGTGTAACGTTTGGATACATTCTATATAATGTGAACGTTAAACGTTAACCTTATAGGAGCTCATACATAACGTTAACGTTAAACGTTAACGTTAAACGTTAACGTTAGAGGAAAATACCCCCAACGTTAGCGTTTTGTGGAAATGTAACGTTATTTTTCTAATATCTACAACTTTTTTGACCATAACGTAAAGAAATGTTTTGTTTCCAAAGGGAGCTTGAAAGTCTAACGTTTAAAAAATGAATTGTGATTTGATTGAATATCGTAACGAAAGGATTTCTATTTCAAAGTTCAACTTATAAAAAGTGTAAAAAAGAAAAAATTAACCCTAAAATAATCTAAAATAATTTAGAACTACTGTTAAAAATGCAAAAGTGGTTTGCCTTGCCGAATTTTAACTCATTTTATGAAGTGCCTAAAAACATGTCTATTTTTTAAGCTCGTCAAATACACGATGATATTTTCAAGTGATCCTCCATTTGATTGATGATTTGAAAATTAGGAGTGTTTTCCTATCTTGTATCTTGCAAAAAATAAATATGATACATCATTTTCTTGGATATGTCATGCTAAATTCAGATTCGAAAACCATTTTTAAATATATTAAAATCTAAAGAAGTTATGGCCAAATAACGGTACTAAATTCCGGTTTTAAAACTTTTTAATGTTTTTTTATGAGTTTTTTAGCTCTGACTCTCTGAATTTTCAATTTTTTTAAACGCTTTTCAGATTTGAATTTAGCATTGAATTTCCAAGAAAATGATGTATAACATGAAATTTTTTTTTGTGGCCTTACGGTGAAAACGCAGCGACTTCCAGTGGGCGGTTGGCTCTTTTCCAATATTGATCACCCCTAATGAACAATGGACATGCCACTCCATAAATGGAAGGTCACTTGAAATTACGTCTCAAGTCCCCTAAAGACACACTTTGAGTTGAAAGTCTAATGCTAAAACTTTCATTTACAACTTTAGAAACGAAACGAATAAACAGTTTTGATTGTCAGTTGTAAAAAAGTGTAAAAAAAGTTTTCACAATAACGTTTCGATAAATCGTAACGTAAGAAAAGGTGCATTTTAGTAAAATTTCTAAACGTAATTAAAAGAGTTAATATTTGAAAAGTTAAGATAAAACATGACGTTAACAAAAAAATTCTTTGCACTGAAATGCATTGTAACGTACAGAATTATGCTCCAATGACGTTTTATTAAAGCAAAACATTTGTTATCTTTTTCATCTTAAACCAAGTGAAAGTGTAACGTAAGGTCTCTAAAAATATTTACCTTGCATGAAAGTGGAACGTTAAAAAATTGTGGTTATATTACATAAGCTTTAACTCAACGTTGGGAAAGTTTTTTTAAACATCAAATGCAAAATCGTAACGGAGCTTACTGTTTTTTCAACAACATTTACTAAAGCTTAACGTTGTATAAGGTATTCAAGTGCAGAAAATTCATTACGTAAAGTTACTCTATGCCATAAAATTTCATAATGTGCAACTTAACGTTTCAAACATTAATACTTTTGATGAACACTATCTTAACGAAAGCTAAAATCTAGAAAAATCAAAACGTTGACATCTCTACTGCACACCATAGCAAGTGAAAAATTCCTTTATTTGAATTTTCACCTTGTAGTAAAAAGTCCCATGACCATCCATTAGGCCCATTTTGAAGGAGCCAGAATATTCCAGTATTTCTTGAAGCTAAAATATTAAGATAAGATTAAAAATATTGTTTCTTTTAGACACTTAAGTTTTTGGTAATTTGTTGCATACTTAAATTATAAGATTGTAGAGGCGCAAAGAATGAGACAAATAAATGGAATGTATAAATATGGAAATCTAAGCTACACCATGAGATTTTATACCCTATATCTATATTTGGTTTGGTTGCTTGGTCCAGATGTGGAAAACGACAATCTAGCTCCTCCACAGGATATTGAGAGATTGTAGAGAAACAAGATGCTTATCTCTAATTATTCTTCTAGGGTTTTTCTAGGCTGAGGGAATGGAGGAGAAAAGGAAACCCTCTTCTTTGATTTGAACTTCTAGCTGTCAAAAGAGGTGTATGAAGACTTGGCATTGGACGTAACAGAGGCACCAGAATCATAAGAGGAACCAGAGATCAGAGGCATGGGAGCCAGAGGTACTGGAGACAGTGGTCATTGAGCCACTCAATGTCTACCATGGCAAGGGGGTTCTTAGGCTGTTACAGGGAACTCAGAGAGGACTGGTTTCAATCTATCCACAGACATGGAATCAGTCTTGGAACCAACCTGGAGAGAAAAGTATTTTGATGTTTGAGAAACCACCAGGTACGGACCTCTATAATGCGGAGGCAGAGAAGGTTGGGAAGTGTCTTCTCTGACAAAAACATGGATTGACCAGAGCAAACTTGGAGGAACTTATGCTGGAACTGAACATGGCGGAGTGAAGTTGTGATGAGGCAGAGTAACAGAAGTTTTATTTAGAATCTGTTGGATTCGTCTGAGATACTCTGGAGAAGGGAGCTCGGGACTGTCCTGGAACTTGCTATAGGAGAACCAAACACAGCTTCAGAGGGAGAAATTGACTAATCTTCTCTGGGAAGACTTTGATGGCTAAGTAGAACTAGGGGAAGATGATGGAACCAATCAGACCTGGCAAGTTGAGCAGAGAGAAACTTGAGTTGACAATGGAGTTAAATTAAGGATGGAAGGAAGCAGCAGGAGTGTGAATTATTCCCCAAGGAACTTACATAGTGATGGTGAACAGGAAGGAGAACCTTTTGGACTGAGGAAGAGGACCAACCAAGTCCACATGAACCTGAGAGAACCTCCATCCAGGAATCGGTATATGATGAACTGGAGACTTCACATGACTGAGACTCTGGACCTTACTCTGTTTGCAGTTGAGACAAGATTGAGCCCAGAGGTTTACATCCTTTGTTAGGAACTCCCAGACAAAACTCCAGGAAACCAGTCTCCGGGAAGCACTTTTACTAGAATGAGAAACATTATGGACGGAGTCAAACATTGCTCTACTCATAAGCTCTGGAACTCAGGAATGGTGGTCACCTGTAGAGACATCACAGAGTAACCCGGGCTAACCGGAGAAGGAACGTGACAATCTTCCGCGTCAAGGATTCACGGAGGTCTTGGGCTTTAGGACAAGACTTTTGAAGTTTGAACATTTCTACATAAGATATTTCTGGAACTGAAGGAGGTGTAGGTGGAGCCAGTGTAGATAGAACCTCAGGTGTATCTGGATCAGGACCAGACAAGATAAGGCATCAGCTACCACATTCTCTGCACCAGGGAGATGGCAAATTTCACAGTTGAAGTCTGAGAGGAAAGACAGGTGGGGTTGCTGCATGGCAGACCAGGGTGAAGAAGACCTAAACAAGCCATATGTTAGAGGTTTGTGGTCCTCAAATGAAACAAACTCTTTACCCTCCAGGAGGAACTAGAATTGGCGGAGAGCGGAGTAAGCTGCAAAAAACTTCTGGTTGAAGGCGGAGTATCTGGACTAGGGGGATAAAAGCTTCTTAGAGTAGAAAGCCAGAGGAGCCCAAGAACCTGCAACATCTTGTTGAAAAACAGTACGAATGGGAGAACCAGAGGCATCCACAGAGAAGGAAACCTTGGCAGAAGTATCTGTGTGCACAAGGGTTGGAACCTTAGAGAGAACAGACTTGGCGGTGGAGAAAGTTAGGTTCATTTCCAAAGTCCAGTGCTTCAGTCAGAGAAGCAAGAATCCCTGCAGCACCCATGATGAATCTCCTGTAGAAGTTGAGGATACCAAGAAATTGTTGGAGACCCTTCTTGTTCACAGGGTGAGAAAAAGCAGAAGTAATGTCAGAATGATTCTGGAGAGGAAAACATCTCTTACCAAGATATTCAACCTTGGTTTAGGGAGTTCACTCTTGGCAGTGTTGATGCTGAGGTCTTAGAGGCGGAGACAGTTGAGAACATGGCAGACATGGCGGAGGTGTGATTCAAAGTTCGGACTGGCTATGAGTATGTCATCAACACATACAAAACAGTTGGGAATCTCACCAAGAATCTGGTCCATCATCCTCTGAAAAGTAAAACCAGCACTCATCAAACCAAACAGCATCCCAATCCACACAAAGAGATCAAAAGGAGTAATCATCGCCATCTTTGGAATGTCCCCTTTTGCCATTGGAACTAGATAATAACCCTTTGTAAGATGATGGTAAAAACAGTACAGCCTTTGAGACAAGAAGTAAAGTCGGCCACATTGGGAAGAGGATATCTATCAGGAACTTTCATTGTGCTTAAACAGTGATAATCGCCACACGGGTGCCAGGAGCCATCAGGCTTCTGTACCATTTGAAGGGGGCTGGCCAAAGGAGAGTTGGAGGGAGGAATAGCACCTGCAGCCTCCATAGCAGCGAACTCCTTCCTGGCACACTCGAGTTTCTCAGTATCCAACCTTCTAGCTTTAGCTAAAACTGGTGGTCCAGGAGTAGTTGAAACACAATGACGAACCAGATGCTTAGGAACAGCACACTAAACCCTTCAGAAGAGATTACATCTTGATGCTCAGCAATAAGATCTCTAAACTCCTCTGTGGTTGATAACAGCACAGCAAACAGTTCTTAATGTTTACCTGGTTTACAGGCAAGTAAATGGTGGGTATTGGTTCCAGGGTTGAAGCATCTAAAAGGCGGGATCCAGCTATGTCCACTAACAGATGGTGATGGCACAGAAAATTAGTTCCAAGGATGGGCATGGAGACATCAGCAAAGAGAAAAGACCACTCAAACAAGCAGGAACCAAACTGGAGAGCTATCTGACAAGTACCAAAAGTATTCATCCTGGTACGGTTGGTAGTTCTCAGCTGAACACCCACACTTGTAACATGAGGATGGCAAGGAAGGTGTGGAAAACCCAAGACAGAGGCTCCAGTTTCAGCCAGAAACTTGTGTGAGGAAAGCGAGTTCTTCAAAAATATAAGGTTTGAGGCAGTAGAATTGATGGGAATTGATAATAAAAAATCTTGCAGCTAACAAGTTTCCTAAGTGCAACAGGGAGCTTGACACTGGCTAGCCTCATTTCCCCATCAGCATACCTAGGAACCTGGGAGTGAAGTCCAGATTTTACGGATAAGTTACTGTACGGCAAGTATTCACATCCTCAAACTGGTCAGACAGAACTTGTACAGGGATGCTGCCATCCCACAGAAGTCACTGATGGCCTCAGAGAGAAAATGTGGACAGACATCAGCTGGGAGACGGTCCCTGAACAAACCTGAAGAAAAATCCTGGTTTCTTGTCTTCAGGGAGGAGGATGAACATTTTTTCCATCTGCTAAGAGGGGCGATGGTTTGACAAAAAAGGCAAACTCTGCTAAGCCTGGTACCTCTTGAAATCACTCAGGGAATACATCTGAATTAGGCATCTTCTTAAAGCCTCATAGGTCCAGGAGTCTACAAGCCACATCCTGGGGCAATGCAGCGACAAAGTGGGTAAACTTAGTGTGGGAGGCTGTAATCCTCTTGTTTTCAACCTGAGCCTCTGCTTGGATGAACCAGTTCTCTGGAGAATTGGTCCTAAAGGATGAAAGTTTCACAGAAACTGTCAAAGGGACTACAGCCTGGATCACACAACACTTCCAGGCTCTTCCGGCATCTCGTTAATTGCTACTTGAAAATGCTGGAAATAAACTGAAACAGACTCTCAAAATTGCTGGAAACCTTACTTTGGTACTGGGTGTGGAAAACACAGGGACCTGGTGAAAACCAATTTTGGGTACATTGGCGCGAGAAAATTTATACAGTTGTCAGCGACAAAATCATGTTGGGGTCACCAAAATGTAGCAATGCAAAGAATAAGATAAATAGAACGAATGTATACATTGAAATTTAAGTTACAACATTGGATTTTATACCCCATATCTATATTTGGTTTGGTTGCTTGGTCCAGAAGAAGAAGACGACAATCTTGCTCCTCAACAAGATGACATAAAATCCTTATATTTCATATTTCATTTTTTATTTTAACTTACCTTATCTCTATACAATTTTCCAGATCCATGGGGCTGGTTTAGACTATTCACTTCACCTTAAAATTATAGATTCTACCTAATTCTGGCTTTATTTAATACTTCTTATTTACCTATATAGCTCTGTCCATTGAACAGAATTAATTTTACTCTCTTATTTCTGCAGGTATATCTGAGAAGATATTTTGAATGATTCATTAAAACTAGAGTTTTTTTTTACAATTAATGACAATAAAAATATAAGGCACATTTTTGCAAAAGCAGGAACTTAATAATTAATTTCAGATTAACTTCTATAAAAAACTACATTTGCTTAGCAAAACTAAAAAATTTTGAATTGGCCACAACCAAGCCTTTTAACTTTTGACTGATCAGAAATTAGTTCATCTACTGGGTTTCAGTTAATCTCTTAACAATCATTAATGTAATTTTTTAAATTTATCTTTTTAATAATTTCTGTTAAAGGTCTGCATAATGTAAAGAAAATCTGTATGATTGATAGTGTTTAGATCTATATTGCAATCCTTTTATTCTAATATGGTATTTTTATTTCACTTAAAAATAAGGAGGAAATTGTTAAAAATGACTTATACCGAGGAATGTAGCAGCCTTACAAATTCAAAAAATTGCAATATTCAACTCGGATTGTAAAAACATCAAATTAATTCCAAACAAATCATTCAGATGCAGTGAAACCCTTAATAACCAATACATTGGAAGAATTTATCAAATGTCTTCTTGACAATTTTTCAATGAGTTTCATACTATAAATTACGTAAATTTCAGTATTTGCAAAAATAAAAAAATAGCCATGAATATGGGGGAACAGTATTAAAGAGTTCCATATAATCATTTAATTAAAAAACTAAATATCGGCAACATTCCATTATCAGAAAGTGAAGAATACAACATTTTATGAATTCTTTCGATGAATTCGTTATTAAGGGTTTCACTGTATTACAACCTATAATCATCCATTCATATATAGCTGATATTTCTTAATATATTTTTGTGAGCCGAACAAAAGGAATAATACTCGAAAGAGGGAAAGGGGAGTTGGCAAGGAAAACACTCTTTTCTACCAGACACAGATAGATGATAACTTCTTGAAAAAAGTATATTTCAGTAACGAGGTTTCCTACAAAATACAAATTGTTATTGGCGTACATACATATAAATAATAATTGTTAATAAAGATTAAACAGTTGAAGGTTTGTAGGTTTAACAGGATTGGAGATTTTAGGTTTAGTAGGTTTAGCAGGATTTGGGGATCATATTTTTTTGCTGTTGTAAATCGATAAATAAAGGGTTTAAAGGCACTGTTGTGAACTGATTAATAAAAGGTTTAAAAGGTACTGTTGTGAATGGAACTTACAATCTAGAAAACTGTGTTAGGTCGAAAAGTTGTTTGAACTGAAGTCTAAAGCAATTTAATTCTTCTGAAAATAAAAATTAGCCGGGTAAAATAAGTTCACTATTTGATTGCAAATGATTCACTGAAATTATGTTTAAATGGGTTCTTTTAATGCACTTAAAGTTTTATTAGCTCCATGAGGTTATTGTTTACGTTTATGCAAAATCCTTGGCAAGGTTTGGTTTGGTGAGTGGACGGAGTGTTCAGAGGAGGTACAGTCTATTGGAGACGACCTTTACAACAGGGTTACATTAGGGATATGTTTCACAATTTTAATTGTTTTATTGCACTTAAAATTATGAGTTTTTTGGTATTTTAAGTGCATATCTATTAAAAAGTTGTAATCTCTAGTGTCTGTCTGTTTGTTTGTCCGATCATAACTCAGGAACCCCTGGACTGATTTGCCTCAAATTTTGATTGGGTAACTCGGGAGGCCCATGGAAATGGTTAGCTTGGTTTTATAGTTCTAAGTTGAGTGGGTTGACTTCGAAAATTAAGTTTCATGGGATGGGGTGGAGAGTGTGTGACATGAGGGGAGGAAGGCCAACCACATCAATCTCTAGTCCGAACCACACTCTCCTCATTTTCTCTTTTGAACCACCTCGAAATCGTCGTCCTTTCAATATTATTTTTTTCGGGTCTAATCCTTCCATATAAAACTATTTTTTAAGAATCAAGCCACGTCAGGCATAAATGAAATATCAAATTTTTGTAAATCAAAGTAAAAAGCTTCAATTGAATTAAAGGTTTCAAGTTTAATGTCCTTAAAAACGTACACCTTTTTTACACGCATTTTCAAATATTCCTGGTGTAGAATGCCGCAAATAATTCCAAGTTTATAGAACTTTAATCTTTTTTGTTAACTATAGTGAAAACCATAGAATTTTCCCGGGTGGTTCCATGGGGAAAATTATAGGCAGAGGTATGCCGAATATTTTTCTATTTATTTTATATCATGAAGGTTAGCCGCCATTATGGAGGCAGAAGAGATTTAAGTTTACCTAAATAATGTTTGACATCATTCTCATAGATTTGAAGATTCCAACATCTCAAAATCCTTGGAAAACTTTATTCTAGTCATGTTTTATGCCCTAACGTCGTCATATTTTAAAAAAATGTATTTATTTTCAAGGATTGGACACTTTTAAAAAAAATAATGAAAGGACGAGGATTTCGAGGTGGTTTGGACAAGAAAATGAGAAGAATGTGGTTCGGACTAGAGACTGATGTGGTTGGCCTTCCTCCCCTCGTGACACCAGTTCTTGTTAGATCACTGAAGCTAAGCACACTTATCCACAGCCAGTAACAGGATTGGTGTCCAGACTGGTGTTTACGGGTTCGATTCCCGTACTCCACACAAACCTGTGGTTTCAAAAATATCAGAAGCTGACATCTGGTTAAGCAGTTATGACCACCTAACGGATGTAGGAGGACAAAGGGGTGGCTGTCTACAACTCTCACATAGAAAGGGAGCGTGCTTTCTACTCAACAAGAAAGAAGCTTTAAGTGGATTGATCACAGTGAATGATGATGAAGAGAGGAATGGTGGACAAGCAGGGAGAGTCTATGGTTGCCAACTATAGGTACCTGGGGGTATCCAACCCAGGCTTACAGATGTTAGGGAGCAATGAGTGTGATGTTTCCTATCAGTATGGCACCCGGGCCACATTCCAGTATATCAGAAGGATTCCTGCACTCTATATTCTCAGGCCTAAGAAGAATCTTAGGCAGCTGGAATCTTGTCAATCCCTCTTCTCAGGATGAATGAAGCATGGATTGATGAATGTGTTGCCAGATTACAACCCCTGGTAGATCAATATAAAACCCCAGACAACACCAAACTTTTGCAACAGAAAAAATTCTGAGATTTGATCGTAACAACCTGGGGTAAAAAAAAAATCTCTTTTTTTCATGGTAAAATTATTCAAGTGCAGGTAAACGGCGGGAGTGATTTTAAGTAACCTTGGCAGCATGGGTTCCTAGCTAGTTGTACATAAAACAAATAAAATATATTATGAAATTTTAACTTTACAATTCATTGAAAAAAAAATCGATAATTTTAGGTTGTAATATCTGAATGATTTGTTTGAATTAAATTCAGTCGAATATTGCATCTTTCTGAATTTGTATGGATGGCACGTTCTCTGGCACAAGTCGTTTTTATCAATTTTTCCCTTATAGCTGCAACAGTTAAAAGTAAAAATAGTAGCAATCACCATCAATTATTTTCGATGTAAGCCTATGTCTTTTCAATTCTCACAATCACTCCCTTTAAAGTAATTTTAAATATAAAATCTAACCTCAATCCATCCTTGCCAACTGTCTAAATTCAAAACTTTGCAGAATTAATTATTATATTTTGAAAATGGGGGTGTAAGTGTGTAAAACTAGTTCTAATAAGATGACAAACTTTCATATGGTGGATTTGAGACAACACTGAAAGTAGTAGACTCAAAATTGCAGAAATATTATCAAAGATAATGATGAAAACCCAAAACGCATAATTAATTTTATGTTTTGAATTCCCTTATTAAAATTGTTCTTACAAAGTTGGTGTTTAGGACAATTGTCATCAATTCCACAGCCAGACAAATTACAGTCAATTTGGAATATATCACAGTACCTGAATTCATGTGAGAAGTGTTCATTGACTGTATATATAAGTGAAATAGATTTTAATAGGGGTTAAACAGAAATATAAATTTGAAATTGAAATTGATAAATATTGTAGTGCATGAAATCTGCATTTATTTGAATATTAGTTTGGAAACCCTTTAGGAGGGTTTTTTGTAAATCATTTTCAATTTGAATTGGAATGTAATAGAATATTCAACTATCTGTATTTTGGTGGAAGTAATTACTTTTGAAGAGGAAATTCTGGAAAATCCAGAGGCCTAACTGTCTCTTTTGATTTTTATTTTATAAAGAACACCCCTTGCTATATATTCTTGGAACCAAGGGCGGATAACAGAAACGTCTATTTTGTTTCCATCTACTTTCAAGTGCTCAAAATTTTCTCTAAAAAGAAATAAGAATTTACAAATAATCAAATAACTTTCAAAATAAATTATACCTTAAAAAAAGGTCTTCTATTGGCACAAGTTTTCTTTTAATGGCATGAGGTTCAAAATCTCCGTTCTGTACTAGAGTTATTACTTGCTGAAATAGATTCATATTTGTGATTGAAATATTTGACAAGAGTAATCATAAAATAAGTAATGCACAGTAGTACTAGTTTAAGCACAGGTCTTTCTGAGAGAGATAAACTGTCATCTTTTAGATGATATTCCTGAGGTGTTAGTGTCAGATTACCTCAGTCCACTCTAGGAGACTTTCAGCAATAAAGCTTCCAAAAGTAGATATGACAGTTCTCTCCAGGCTATCAGAATTTGAACCCATATTCCTAGATTTTCCAATAATTCACTGTTTTATAGTAAATTTAGACAAGCAGCTTTAGAAATTATTTATCTGAACATCATTCCTGTTTTTCTCTTTTTATGTTTATCCGAAAAAGTTGCACCTTTTATATATTTTATATATTCTTGATAAACCTAGTTATTTCAGAAAATTTTTAGTTAAACGTTAAAGATAAAGATTAAAAAAGCTTGATAAAATGAATGTAAGACTTAATTTCAAGAAACCCTCAATTTTGTAGAGTTGCATGTCTGACTAACATTGATTCTAACACTTTTGAGAATACAAATTCTGATAAGATCTTCCGCATTGTTACTCAGATATAGGTTTAAAGGGTGAATCAGACATTCCACTTTGTAATTGAAGGGTCACTTGAAATTAAGTACAGAATTAATCAAAGTTAATAATTTGTTTTATTGTATCTTACATACATGAGATTGGTATTGCTGCAATTCATTTTACTCACTTCTGCCTAGAACAAATATATATATTTAAAAGTATGACATACATTTTATGTTCAAGGTAATGAATTATACTCTGGACAGGGGCAGGCAATGTTTTTTAAGAAAATTAACAACCCTGAAGCTTGTCTTTTTCAACTTAAAATTATAAAGCATGTAAGTCTTTACCCTGTCCCTGTATGTTTCAATGTTAATTTTCTCAGGAAAATATTTAACCATTGGTTTTATTTTACCTGGAATCCTAATACTTGACTTCCAACCAAAGTGTTACAGGCACGCAGTTCTTCTTTGTCAGACATTATTCTTTCCTTACAGTTAAATATCAAAATTAGATTTACAGTCATTGTTTATCAAAACTGTTTATATCATACCTCCGCAGTGTATCTTCTCTCAACACTTATTTTTGTTCCCATTTCAGTGCTTGATGAATAATGAGTTCCAAACTCATTTATAAATGCTTTAAAAGCCTCCAATTTTGTTCTGAAATTGTAAGTATGAACAGATAAATGAAATGTGTAAAGTATTATTCTAAAATTACCCCTCATCAGCAAAAGATGCATTGTACAGTAAGAGAACATTCAGCTCAAAAGTAAAAGCAAATATTTTTCGTGATTTTTCACTTATGTCCACTCTAAAAAAAATAAAATATTACGAAATGGTTAAGGAGGAGCAAATTAAAATCAATTATCATTAACTTTCTACCTTTCGGTAAAACAAACTGCTTCTGAGACAGCTATGGATCCTCTTTCCTTTGGAACTAATTATTAAGTTATTATGACTTTTCTTCATGATCAAAAAGAAAAAAGGAGGGTTTTAGATTTCTATATAAGTATCTTTTGGAGATATCTAATAAATTTTATATCTAAGAAAAAATCAGCAAGTCCTTAGTAAAAAAATCTCTGGTTTTCTCAACATCATTGCTTGTACTAGAGCTTCTGCTGAACACTGAAGGTATCTGAATAAAATATGTGAAATATTTAAGCTAATTGGAAAAGCTTTAATTTTAATGAAAAAGATAATCTTATATAAACTTTGTATATATTATTACAAGTACAAATTTGTTCCTTTAATTTTATTAAATTTAGAATAAAAGAAAATAGATTTTGTCAGCATCTAAAAAGGTTGTAAATACCTTTGTTGAAAAATCCATATTGGAAATCGTGGAGCTGAAATCTATTTCAGGAGTTACTGTGATACTTTCACCATAAGTTGAAGAGTCCTGTTTTCCTTTGAAATCAAAGAGTTTATGTGATCATCAAATGTGGATGCAAAAAAAAAGATTTAGTTCAACTTTCTTACAATATATTTTAATCTAACATGACTTCGCCTTCAAACTAAATATATAAGATGTTCTATTGTCACATTGTGTAGTCTTGGATACAAAAAAAGTTGACTTAAAACTTAAAACTTAAAACTCTAGCTTGTCATTAGGAGAAAAAAAATTAGGGGTCAATAAAATTTCACCTCACTAAACCTACAAAATACAAAGGCAGACTGCAATAGGGGGTGTAAGTTTCTGTCTGTAAGTTTCTGACTTATCTTTAATAAAATGCTATTAACAACCTACTTCAGTATACTTTCCTAAAATGATTTGTGTACACATTACACTTGCGTAAGTTCATACACAGAATACGTTTTTTTCTGTCAGAAAGTGTACTTTCTTGCCCAATGGCATCAAGAACAAAAATGAAGTTATATTGCAGATTTTCTGCTTCCTAGATTTAGAGGGAATTATTAGATATGTTTTGATTGTTTCCTTTCACATAATCCTTAAAGTTATCATAAACTTCTGAACTCCAGCTGGCATCACACTAAAATAATTCAAAAGTTGATTTTATTTCTTTAAGCAAAAGTCAACAAAATATATCTGACATTTCTTAGAATTGCTTCCAATTCACAAAAACTATCTTTAGCATTTGTTATAGATAAAATGTTATTTCACATGAAAAAAATCTTGGACATCCTGCCACTGACCTTTTTGTTGAATTCTTGGAAAGCTGTAGCAGATATTCACTTTTCAAAGAAATGGAATGTTCATGGCTTTAGTTTTTTTTTAGTTGTACCTTAATGTTGATGTTGGCTGTTAAAAAATCAACCTGAAAAAAATACAATTGAATCAAACAGCTTTAATTTTCATACCCAAGCATCCTACATAGAATTTAAAAATTATGCCAATATTAAAAAAAAAAGAAATCTTAATTTATGGTTTTATTTTTTCAATGATGAATATGTAAGTAAATATAATTCTCTTAATACCTGCATAGCATAATAACCATCCTTATTTCTGTACATAGGTTCGAAGATAAGATTTCTACCAAATTATCAAAAATGATAAGGTACAGTTACTTAAGGTTTAAATAAAATGACTTAAATGTGCTTGCAGATACTTCTCAAAATTGTTTCTGAGAAAGAATATAATATTGTTGAACAAAAATCATTAAAACTGCCAAGATCTTTTTTAAAGTCATCTTTACCAAGGATTTTCTCTGGCCCTGACACACACACCAAACCAAACATTCTCCGTTACTCGATTCCCAAACCAAAACAAAATCCACGTTTAAGTGATATAAGTTAAAATTCTAAAAACAACCTTTCTTTTACCCCAGCAATTATTTTCAGAAGATAATCATGTTTTAAGCACCAACCAATCACTCCTCTTTTTTTGTGTGTTTAAGACTTAATAGTAAGTTACTTCTCTTTAAAATGGAAAAAATGATCTCATTAGCAAAACAATATTCTGAATAACATTACAATAGTTTATTAATTTATCATTTTATAAATATATACCCGCTCACCCAACAACTTTAAAACTGTGGCATTCATTATTTGTATTTAAATTTCATAAAAAATTATTTTATGAAATTAAAATTTTTACCTAATTCCTGGATCAGTTTTTCCACGGTCTGGATTTGGATTCCCCATTGGAAGGTCATATCCACGACAAGCTTCCTTTTGTTAATTTCAAATTAATTTTAAATTTGCCTAAAAATTTTGACTGGAAACCCTAATTAGTATACATCATCACTCTATACACTATAACCTTGTATGGTACACCCTTGGAAAAAATAGCGAAGAGAAATGGGGGTTTCTCTCCCTCTTATACTCTGTCGGCTGCAAAGAAAAGATAGCTGTAGACAAGGCCATATTCTGCAGCACTGTCCAAGACGAACTTACAAGAATCGAGAATTCTTTTGTCAAAAATATCCACTCCTTTTTTAACCTTTCTTATCCCATTTGTCATTATTAAGGTGGGAGTCTGACAATGACAAGGGATTGGAATGTGTAGATCTAAAAGAGAGGAACAGAAAACAGATGTATGATCAGCTTAAAAGAAGATACAAATCAGAGAAAAAATGCATTTCTCTTTCAAAATTTTGTTAAAGAAAAATTTTATTATATTTATTTTTTCATAAATATTTATTTTTTTGTTAAAAAATCTAAGTCAGTCTAGACGCTTGCATGAAGTATAGAATGGCATATCTAGTGGGTAGTTGAATTTTTGCAGCATTTGTTGTATAATGTATTATACTTAATACACAGTAAATATTAATACCATATTCCATATATACTTGTTGCCCCTTTTTGCTCTGTTTGTAAACAGTGAACTGCACTGTTTACAATCCTACTAAACCTAACTCCGCGCAGTCAGTTAGATCCTATACCCAAACAATTTATCAGGTATAGATTTATTTTCGATTAATAGTGTTCTTTGGTGAAACTATCAAGATAAAAATGATTATTGAAATAGAAAGTATGAATGCTTATTCAAGGTATATATTGTAAATCTATATTTCCATTACTTTAGAATTTGGTTGAATTATAGCTGTCTCTGAGGGCCGAATGTTGCTGGAGTTGGATCGTTTCCGATATCCTGCAACAGCCTCTGTACTTTAGAGTGTTCACTCGTACACTCTATAGTACATGCTCACCTCCCCCCTCACCAAGAACAAGTAGAGCAAGACCATGCAAGTAATAAATGTTCTTATATCTTTAATAAATGTTTGCAGTGTAATATGTCTCTTAATTATCATCATAATTCCAAACCAAATGCACTGATAGTTTGGTAGGACTGACTCGTCTTTTTTGTATAACACCCTATTGGTAGTTTATACTACAGCATTTTGGGTGTTAACTAAGCCAGTGGAATTTCTAAAACCCATGGGTTCCCTCAAATAAATATCAGCCAATTTGTTCCAGCCGTTTGGCCAGCTTTTGAATATATATATATATATATATAAAGAGCTTTATTATACAGGGTGTCCCACAAAACATGACTGTAGCAAGACAACTTAAAAGTCATCTTTAATATTGGAATTTTTTTAGATATTAGTTGTTCAACTTCTTGCACATGTATGATTCTTTAAACAATAACCACAACATTCTCATAATTCTGACATTTCCAAAATGTGGTCTGTCTTTTTTGTGCTGGCAATATTACCGAAGACATTAAGACATTTGTCAGATTACAATTTTATGAATTTCAACCAAAATTGTCAAAATCTGAACAAATTTCTTTGTATCTCCAGTAATATCAAAAACACAAAAAAGGCAGACCACATTTTAGAAATGCCAGGACCATGGTTATTTTGTGATTACTATCTCTAGAATGTTACTTCTAAAATAAAGTTGACAAATAAATGCAGAAAATTATATCAAAAAGTCGTTGCCAAGTCAAGTTGTCAAGAGTCATGTCATGTTTCAAGGGACACCCTGTAAAAATTTACACACTTAATTTCTTGCCTTTTAAATAAAATGAAGACAAATTCTACCCTTTAATCATCAAGCATAAAATATTTTAGATGTAAATTATTTAATTAAATAAAGTTTGAATAAAGATCTTTTTTATATACGTACACTGCACAGATAACCTGAAAACTCTGGAATAGAAAGTCGACGTTCAAACTCAAGTTTGGATTTTGAATAGTTAAGACACAGCAATTGCCTAGTGTAAACAGACCCGTTTCACTTGAAAACTATTTAAAAACTTATTATTAAAGCCATTTATTTGTAACTACAGGGTGTCCCAATAAACATGAGAATTCAGTGACGAATTTGATATTGTCTTTTTAAATAGTTCTTTGATTTAGTATAGTGATATCTAATGAGAAAGCTCTAATCTGTAAGAGTTTTGTCTGCTATGCTCACATTTTGTTTGTTTATGTTATGACTGCATATGATTGTACTTAGTTAAGCAAGAAAATTGCAGTACAAAAACAGAGTTAACTTGTCCGTCTTCACTGTTCATCTTGCGGAGACATTATATACACATCTTTACAGTCTTTTACCCTTTTAATAAAATAAATTCTAACAAGCATAATAATATTATGGCTTAGAAATTGGGTATTACAATGCTAATTCATAAGAAAGACGATATCCTATTCGTCACTGAATTCCCATATTTTTTGGGACACCCTGTACATGAAATGCTCTTCAGTATTCAGTCTTCTGTGTAGTTTGTATGCCGCTGTTTATTCCAAGATGTGTAAATCCTTTTGTGGTTTGCAGTGGAATGCATGTAACCCACGCCCTTCCGTCCCCCCCCCCCCACCCTCTCTACACCTCCTGGTCCTCAGTCAGCTTGATCACAACCCCGTCTCAGGGAGCAACCCTGGCTCCTTCATGACATTGATACAGATATCTAAACAGCAACGGGCGATACTTTCATCTAGCCCAATAATATTTCCAAGAGTTCCTAAATTATCATGGCTTTCAGAGACATCATAATTGCCCAAGCCCAGAAAAGGATAAACCCGAGAACTCTCCCCCATAATGTGAAGCCTGGAGTGAGGTCGGGATACCTGTTGTTCCAGCTACAGTTGATCTGCACCACCAACATAAAGCTATACAAAGCTCCCATGATGTGACCCCAGGTATTTGTCAATAGTTTCCTTTCTTAATTTCTAACCAACCAATTTCCAACCCTGACTGGGGCAAATATTTTAAAACTTGTGTTTTTAAGTAAATGTTAAGAAATATCCTTATTGATCTCTTTTATTTTACTTATATGACTATAAAGCCAACAACTGTATTCTAAAATTTTCAATATTATTAATAATTTAGCTGGGCATGAAAACTGAGTTAACACTTCAGACGTAATAATGCAGCTGTACTAAGAGTGTACTCATATTCTACTTTGCCATCTTTATGTACTAGAATGTATTTGTATTTACTGTTTTCTGGTTATCACTGTATATAAATATACATATACAATCTTATCTTTTAGATTCAAGTTGATAATGTTAATAAAGAGGTAATACTTTGATATTTAAAACATTAATATTTATTACCTCTAAGTTTGGATAAGCCATATAGTTTGGATCACAGTATGGGCACATGATTAATGATCCAGAAATCATCTTTTTAAGGCAACAAATCATAAAAATATGTTAGTTGGTTAGTTAGTCAATTTCTTTAAAATTAATGTGAAAATAAGGAATTTATCCCAATTTATCTTCTATATATATACTTTGCTTGTCTGTTTGTTTGTTTGATTGTTTGTATCCAATAAACGTTAAAACAGCTTAACCAATCGGGTTCAAATTTTGTTTGAGACTTCCCATTTTCCCTAGGGAAGGCTCATAGATGATTTAAATTTCAAAAATTTGCCTCCAACCAAATTCGATTTACATAAAATTTTGAAAAGCCACAAAATTTTTTTTATAAAATCTGCAAACCTTTTTTTTGTCTTGCAATGTAAGCAGAGAAAATTTTCTCAGTTGAAAAAGAAGATGTTTGAAAAGCCTTGTTTTAATGTATTTATTGTTTTAGGCCCGTAAAGGATATTTGGTTTTCTGCATCTTTAAGCATGTTATACTTTCTTTTCTTAACTGCTTGGTTAATATTTAAAGACTATGTTCTAATCAGAAAACAAATCCAGCCTTCTGATCGTCATAATTAAAGAATTATAGGGGTTCAATAATGTTTCATTATATGTGAGTCACCCTTTAAATAAAATTTTTAGAAATAACCTGTGACTGAACAACAAAATTTTCTGTGTTTTGAAAAATGGACAAAAGAACTGAAGCTCTAATTAAATCATTACATGTTTGCAACAATTAGGGTTATTTCTTGTATTAAAATTTTTTTACCAATTTTAATTTCTTCTAAAATGTTACAACCATAATAAGTTTTACAACATAATGAGTGTGATTAATTTATGTTTGTTGCCACTTTCCTTAGAACAGAATAAAACTAACAAGCGTTAATTGAGACCAGCAAGACATTTTTAGCATATAAAAAAGCATTTAACTTCAAAATCAAATTATTATCTTTTCATTTAGTTTTAAACACAAATATTCCGTTTTTTGCAATAGATTTTTATTTCAATCAATTTTCATGAACTAAAGCATATTTATATACATTTTGAATTAAAAAATAATAACTTTAACGACAGTTAACTTTCTGTTATTCACTGCTTTTAAACTAACTATTTCAACTAAAGTTATGTTCTTAAAGCTGCCTGATCTCATTCCTAACACTAGCACATGCATCGCAACCTGATCAACTAAATTTGCAAGATTTAAGAATTTATGTTTTGTTATTCTTTCTCAAGTTTCTAGTCAATCTGATTGTTTCAATTCTGTCAATTTGATCACAACACACAGTTATCAATGTTTATACCTTATTGAATATATGTAGTTACGATTTGAAACCTAACAAGTGCTATTCTAAAATGAAAATAGAAACCCCCCCCTAAAAAAAAATTTCCACCAAGATAGATAATGAAATTACATTTACTTTTCACTATTTTTAATGAAATATTGACTTAATGGGAGTTTACAACACAGTTATTTGTAAAAGAAAATAATAATTAACAAAAGTGTTAATGAGTAAATTTTACAGTTCTGAAAGTTAAATACCATTTATAAGTAATAATTTTTGTTTTTTTAATGTTGATTTACCTCAAAAATATTTCTTGTGTACATCACAAAACTAAAATGCAATGAGAATTATGCATATTTTTCTTTTTAATTCAAAGGAATTGGGTCTTTGCCATAAAATCTGATATACTAATTCCTACATCAATTTCTTTACAAAATTTTAAAAACTAAGGGAAATTTTTTCAGCCTAACTGCCCTGCGACTGGGAGTAGTTCTTTTGGGAGGCAAATTAATTTTGACTTGTAAAAAGCCACAGGAAAGGCAAAAATCAAAGTAAGTAATTTAATCCAATCCAGTTTTTGACAATTTTTTTTACTACTTTTTTAACTTCTTTTCTCTAACCTTACTCTCTTCCCATGATTGTACTTGAGCTAGCAATGTTTTATAGTTATTTCTATACTATTTAAAAGTTTACACCAGATAAATAAAAACGTTTAGATACATATATTCTGTTATGGTTTATTTTGTCTGTTATTTTATATCTACAAAAAAAAAATAGTGTAAGCAAAAATAATGAAGAACCCAGCTGAGAATATGATCATGCAGAACTCATTCAAAACCTAAAAATACAAGTATAAAAGTTTCATTTGGATTCAATCTGGTTTAAAAAAATTCTTTTTATGTTTGTGGTTCAAATCTTTTGTTCAAAGATCTGTATTGGAATTTGTAACTGTTATCAAAGGTTTGATTAGGGTTGGTGGCTGTTCTCAGAGATCCAAGAGTTCTCATTGGATCTTATGGTTAGGAGTGAAATGGAGAGGAGCTTTGTGAAAGGTCCTTGAAAAGTTTAAATTTCAAACTAGCCAGCATATGTCTTAAAAATACATTCAAGTTAGCAATTTTCCTCTTTAATATGCCCTAGTTCAGAACATTCCACCTCTCAAACACCTGAGAGGGGTCACTCCATTCTTTTTTTAAGCATTTTACTTCATGGCATCTTATGAGTGTTGACTAACCTTTGCTGCAAACTTCCAGTCCTTTGCTTGTTCCTGTTCAACCTCTTTTGAAGAATCATTCAGAGTCTCAACCTTTTTAGATTGAGGATTACACAAAATGTTTTAATAAACTTTTCCTAATCTTTTTAGTTACCTGAACTTTCCCCTTGTGATTGGTATTTCTGAAATTAGAAAAGGATGTATCTAACAACTCGTATTATGGAAACTTATGTATTTTACCTTTGAACTTGACTTGGTTTTGACTTTTTTTCCATGAAAAGAAGGCTAGGCAGAAACTAAACAAACAAATTCAACCGAAGAACTTTGATGATAGTGTTTATTATTGAGAGGGGGGGGGGGGAATATTTTCATTTGGTTTTTGAATGATAGCTATTAGATTTGTGTAGACAAATTTGTGGTTTTGATTTTGGACCTACCTTTAGAAATATAGTTTTCTGTAGATATGACATCTTTGCCTCACCTCTTCAAAGATAGCAGAGGATATTAAAATGAAAGTTTAATAAGACACCCAAAAAAATTTGTTCATTAAAATCTTAAAAATCATAGAATATTTGTGAAAGAAAAATCTGAAAGTATGGGTCATAAGATGTAATGAATTTTGCAATAGGGAATGGGAAAAATGTTAATTAGATATATGTCTAGATTTATTTTACTGTCCTTAATAAAAATTTGTATAGCATTAAATTTAATCATTATTCTTAATTAGGTCACTTTTAGTTTAGTAGATATTTTAGTTTAAAAGGGTAAATATTTTAGATATCTTTAAGGATGAAACATCAAAGAAATTTCCTCATTTGATCATAAAGCTCATTAAAAGCAAAAAAAAAGTCAACTAACCTGTTATGAAGATTGATAACAGCAAGGGTTGAGACAACACTAAATGCTACCAAACTCATCATAACCAAACAGTATAATCCTACCAAAACTTTCAACTTTAGGATATACAACTTCCAACCCAGAATTAATATCACTATTCTCAAAAAAAAGAGGTCCATTGGATCCAACACCTCAGGTCAAAAAAATGTTCAAAAAGAACTTTTTTTAATCTTTAAATTGGTTAATTATGATTTGGTAAAAAACATTTTTAATAAAGAAGAAACATGTCTAATTTTGTGACCAATTAAGGATCTGGCTAAAAAAATGTGCCTTTGAGCGTTTTAAAAATGATTTATAAAGTTGTAAAGAAAGAATATTGGATCCTAGGAATGGCATGGATGTTGTAACAGGAACAATATCAGCCACCATTCCAGCATAGAAGGTTGTGGACAGGAGAACACTGCCAGAGTAGGTCAAATATTTGTTATGTTAGGGGAAAAAATTATTAATATTATATTTACTTTTCTTTGTTGTTTTGGCCATTTTTTTTCCTATTCTTGAAGTAATTAAAGACAGAAAAAGCCATTGAACATGGGTGTTTGTTGTCTTGAAAATATACACCCATGTCCCCCCCTTCTAGATTCCATTTTTTTAGTTTGTAAGGAATTAGAATAGTTTTTTTGAAAATGAAGGTTGTTTTGCAAAGAATTACCATATAGGGGAAAACTTGCCAGTTAATGTACAATTTTTCCAAAAAAAATTTAAATCCCCTATACCCTGCGGAAGTTGGCAAGTTCTCAAAATATGTATGAATTGTATAAGCTGTAAAACTGAGGACAAAATACTGACTAAAATCAGAATTGAAAAATAAAATATGATTTTAATTCAAGTTTTGTGTGTCCAACTTCCTGACACCGAGGGAGAGCTTATCTGCAGAATCGGGGGGAAGGGTGAATCCAAGACCAGCAACACTGGAAATAAATATTCTTTAAAAACCCTTAAAGTTTAATAAATCTACCCTTGGTCAAAAATATGCATTCTACCAGATCATATATATATTAATATTAAACAAGCAGTGGCTGAATTTAAAGAATTTGAGCGGATGTTTAAATTTAAGCCGCGGCTTAAATATGGTTGGTTCCACTTAAAATTGTATCAAATGTTTCAAGATTTAAGCCAGCGCTTAATTTAAACTGGGTTTTGGCAGATTTAAACCTTGGCTCAAATTCTTTAAATTCCATCTCAGAACCATTTTATCTTTATTACAGGTCCCTGGCATCTTGAATATTTATTTATTTTTACTTTCCAATGCTTTCCAAGAACATATAAATCTAGAAATGAAATGATATATATCCATTTTAAGATGACTTACCTAGCCAATACTGCATAAGGGTAAATCATGTTGGAAATGTAGTAATTTGGTATTCTTTTTACCATCAGACAAATTATGTGTTCTGAAATACTTTGTGAAGGGAAATATGAAATTAAAAAGATAATTTGACGTATTTATAAAGACTGAATTGCTTGCTTTGAAATGGATAAGGACCACCGTAGTAATTGATTTCAATGCGAGAAGTCACATTCAGTAACTGCCACTCCTGACTCTAAACACAAATAGTAAGAACAACTCTCTTGATCTTTTAATAATGATAGATTTTAAAAATTTCTTCAAATATCTAGTTTCCATTTCTTTACAAATTTTTGAATAACCTTCTTGATCTTATTTAAATAAGTCTTCAATGAATAAACAAAGAAGCAGCACAAAATTGTTCTTATTTAAAACTTTGAATCTAAAACAATTTTTAAACTATTGTTTATAACAACTGTTGAAACCTTTTGTAACTTGTTCCATGTCATCAAATTATGACTTTTGAATTTTCACCTGAAATGTATTTTGGTCGAGTGTGAAGTCCCCTAGACGCAAGAAAAGTTCATTTGAAGGATGGGTAAAAGAAAGATGTTCAATAGTGCAGGTTTGGGTATCATATGGAAACTTATACAAGTCCATCTAAAAATATAAACTTACTTTTTGAATAAATTAGTTTGTTTTGAATATAGTTAATTACAGTCTACACAGTGTCTTTACAGATGCAGATATGGAAAATATATTAACCTTATATATCTTTATATATAAAGTTGTAATCTCTGTTTGTCTGTTTGTTTGTTTTTTGTTTGTCCAATCATAATTCAGGAACCCATGGACCGATTTGCCTCAAATTTTGATTGGGGACCTCGATGGAACCACGGGAATGTTCTTTGCTTGGTTTTGAGATTCTAAGTTGAGTGGGTCAGCTTTTATAGCAAAAAGTTAGATTTGTGGTAAAAGTCGTTTAAGCTAGAAATATAAACTGAAAACTTACTTCTTGACAAATGGTTTTAATCGTTCCTGGTGGTGTGTGTTTAACTAATCCTGAACTATCAAGTATTGCATTGGACTCTGTGGATAGCATTCCAGATCCTATAGGTGTGTGTTGCAGTTGTAAATCTGGAATCCAGATTTGCCCAGCAGGAAGCCTTTAAAAGTAAATGTTAAATTAAAAAAAATTCTTTTTGAAAGGATCTTGATTTTTTAATTCCAATATCTTTGCAACCCAATGTGGTAGACTTTTCATTTCAACTTTTAACTTTCAAACTAACAAATTCTGTAAGATCAAAAAGTCAAAGTTTAAATATTAAAGGTTTACAATATCAGTTTGCAAAGTTATAGTGATTAGACACTTTAAGTTTGTTGCAAGAACTCAGTCTCATCACTGAAAATATTTTTTTTTTTTTCTATTCTTAATCAAAAATCATAATGTTTTGTGCATTTAAAATTATATTGGTTATGATTTCCACATATTTTTATCTAAATTATACTGTGAAATAAACATCTTGCAGGAACTTGGTGAAATTAATGAATTACAAGGTAAAAAGTATGATAAAGGGTGGAAATTGATGCCCATTTTGTCCCGAAAGAGCATCGAAAATCTCCCCTTTCCCTTCTTTTTTATAAATATATACCCCTGAAGAAATTAATTACCTGGTTTGGTTAATACCAGAATACTCCTCTGGATTCCAGGTTAGAAATTTATCAACCCATGAGACAGTTATATACAGTAGAACACTGATGGTCTGACTTATCTCATCCAAATCAAAGGATTCAAATGTCCTAAGTGTTTGGATAATGACTTAGGTCTGACTTATCTCTTTCAAATCAAATGAGACAAATGTCCAATGTATTAGATAATGACTTAGGTCTGACTTATCTCTTTCAAAGTAAAGGAGACGAATGTCCTATGTATTGGATAATGACTTAGGTCTGACTTATCTCTTTCAAAGTAAAGGAGACGAATGTCCAATGTATTAGATATTGACTTAGGTCTGACTTATCTATTTCAAATGAAATGAGATGAATGTCCTATGTATTGGATAATGACTTAGGTCTGACTTATCTCTTTCAAAGTAAAGGAGACGAATGTCCAATATATTAGATAATGACTTAGGTCTGACTTTTTTCTTTCAAATCAAACATTGAATAAAGTAAAGGAAGAGAAATTGATAATTATGCTTTAACATAAACTTCTAATGCTAACCTCTCAGAGCAGAGAATTTCACAAGTTTTTTGCACAATTAATTGTTGCAAATGCGAAACTTATGTTTTTTGCAGAATTTTTTTTCTCGCAAAATTTTGCATTGTTTTTGCATTTATTTTCACGAAAAAATGAGAAATTTTGCAAAAAAGTTTGCAAATTAACAAGGACTACATTCATTTTTTTTCGTAAAAGTTTTCATTCGCTGGAAACTTTAGGTCTGGCTTATCTCTTTCAAATCAAATGACTTAGGTCTGACTTATCTCTTTTAAATCATAGAAAACAAATGTCCTATGTATTGGATAATGACTTAGGTCTGACTTATCCCTTTTAAAGTAAAGGAGACGAATGTCCTATGTATTGGATATTGACTTATGTCTGACTTTTTTCTTTCAAATCAAACATTTAATAAAGTAAAGGAAGAGAAATTGTTAATTATGCTATGATAAAACTTCTGATGCTAACCTCTCAGAGCAAAGAATTTCACAAGTTTTTCGCACAATTAATTGTTGCAAATACAAAACTTTTGTTTTTTGCAGAATTTTTTTTCTCGCGAAATTTTGCATTGTTTTTGCATTTTTTTGCTTAATTTATTTTCGCAAAAAAATGCGAAATTTTGCAAAAAAGTTTGCGAATTACCAAGGAATACATTCGTTTTTTTTGTAAAAGTTTTCGCTGGAAACTCTAGGTCTGGCTTATCTCTTTCAAATCAAATGACTTAGGTCTGACTTATCTCTTTTAAATCATAGAAAACAAATGTCCTATGTATTGGATAATGACTTAGGTCTGACTTATCTCTTTCAAAGTAAAGGAGACGAATGTCCTATGTATTGGATAATGACTTAGGTCTGACTTATCTCTTTTAAATCATAGAAAACAAATGTCCTATGTATTGGATAATGACTTAGGTCTGACTTATCTCTTTCAAAGTAAAGGAGACGAATGTCCTATGTATTGGATAATGACTTAGGTCTGACTTATCTATTTCAAATGAAAGGAGACAGCTGTCCGTAGTACAGACCTTTTAAAATGTTATTAAAATATTTTTCAGCTCACCCAATATTGATTGTTACTTCTAATGGTGATGATAAATTCTTCACTGGTCTGGACATTTTGTTATAATCCTTGAGTAGGTCATTGAGCAGCTTCCCTTCCATGTTACTATTCACCTCAGCCTAAAGTAAGAAATATGCATTAAAGGGACTGTAAACGTAATTTCAAGTGAACTTCCAATGATAGAGGGACATGTCCAATTCACAAGGGTATTTTGAAAGCTGTGTCTGATAGTGATCGAGAATAAATTAGATATCCATGGGTTTTTAAAAACTAATTATTTTGATTTGTGGTTCCTCTTTTAGATGTTTGAACAGTTCAAATTTGTTTTAGATGTTTTCTTTGAAATGTACACAAAGCAGTTTTATTCTGATATGTGCTACAAGCATCTTTGTCAAATACTGATAATTTAAACTTGATTTATTTCTAAACATGGAAAAAACTTACAAACTGTAAACCTTTTTAATCTAACCTTGATAAATGTTTCTATTTATTGTTCCTGCAAAGGAATTGAGTCTTTGCCACAAACTCAAATATTCTAATCACTATATCTATTGAACCTGCTGTTGTAGACTTTTGATATTATAAACTAAGATAATTTGATGCAATAAAATTCAAAGTTTGAAATATTTAAGGTCTACAACATTGGGTTGCAGAGATATAGGAATTATAAAATTAGAGTTTGTGTCAAAGACTCAACTTCTTTACTGCAAAGGAAATGTTATAAACCAAAAACAGACTTCTTGTCCCCGAAACTTAGAGAAAAAAAAATAGTTTTTAATGTCAATGTTAAATCCTATAAACCTAACGTTTTGTTCTAGAATCTATGCAAATTGCTATATTATAGCCCATTTATATTTATAAAACATTTTCGTAATCTATGACCAATGTGAATTATGCATGTAAATCCTGTTAAAACCAATTATCCAAACGAAAATAAAATATATTTTGCTTTAAAAAAGTTCAGATTTGGTTTAATTTATTTACAAACAAAAAGGTGAAGAAATAATAGGTTTCAGAGGATGGTATAAACATAATTTCAACACGGAAAATTATTAATTCTCATTTGTCAATGTGATTTGTCTTTAATCAAATCAAATCATTTATTTCTGTAGAAAGTCAAAGTAAATTTATAAATTTAATTGTTAAAAACAACAGAAAATAAAACGACATTTGAATAATCCTGGTTTTTGCTACAGAATCTGTGAAGAAAATTTCCATAATTAAAGGGAGTGATCGCGAAAAATGAAAGAGGGTTATAGGCTTACGGCAATAAATAATCGCTTTTGATCGCTACTAATCTTTCTTTTATCTGTTGCGTTTTTAATGAGAAAATTGTTAAAATGTCTCATACAGAAGAACGTAGATTCCTTACAAATTCAGAAAGTTGCAACATACGACTCGGATCGTAACAAAATCAATTTAATTCCAAACAAAGCATTCAGATATTACAACTTATAGTCATAGATTATTTTTCGACGCATTCGTATATAGTTAATATTTCATCATATTTTTTACTTTCTATGATCTCAGAGTAGACGACATTACTTACTATCTATGGTAACCCGAGAAAATGCGTCAAATTTGCGTAGATTTTCTGATGCGCTATCTTTAATTAGCAAAGTCTTTGGGTTTGAAGGGATGGTAGACATAATTTCAACACAGAAATTTATTAATTCTCATCTGTGAATGTGATTTGTCTTTAATCAAATCAAATCATTTATTTCTGAAGAAAGTTAAAGTAAATATATAAATCTAGTTGTTAAAAACCACAGAAAATAAAAAGATATTTTGAATAATCCTGGTTTTTGCTACAGAATTTGTGAAGAAAATTTCCATAATTAAAGGGTGTGTTCGCGAAAAATGAAAGGGGTTTATAGGCTTACGGCAATAAATAATCGCTTTTGATCGCTACTAATTTTTCTTCTAGCTGTTGCGTCTATAATGAAAAAATTGTTAAAATGTCTCATACAGAAGAACGTAGATTCCTTACAAATTCAGAAAGTTGCAACATACAAGTCGGATCGTAACAAAATCAATTTAATTCCAAACAAAGCATTCAGATATTACAACTTATAGTCATCGATTATTTTTCGACGCATTCGTATATAGTTAATATTTCATCATATTTTTTACTTTCTATGATCTCAGAGTGACTTTTGAAAACATTCATTCCTGTTTCGAGGATTTTGATAATGAAGACGACATTTTCCATATTTTCCGGGAATACTATTATATTATAAAGATTTTTGAAAATACAGGTTTCCAAAAGAAAAGAGAAAAAATATGCAGAATTGTGCACAAATATACAACATTGATCATTACTCATTACATAATATATTTATCATTTCAGTTATTACGTAATCATCGAATCCTTAACAACATATAAATTATTCATTCTTGTATTTAAAAGTTCTTGTAAAACCGGAACTTTCCATGCATGTTCCAATAGGACATCAAAATGTTTCATTTGTTTCTTAACTAACATTTTACTAAGATCCGAAGGATTTACAGAACAATCATTTGCAATAGAAAATAAATTTCTGCCAAGAACTGTGTAATTTAATAAAATTGGGGTTATTTCATTATAAGTAATCCTTTCTTTAGAAAAAATAAGACAATATGGCATGCCGTGAAAACAAGTTGTAAGCAAAATATTAATCTAAATAAACACTAAATAAATATCAACTATATACAAATGCGTCGAAAAATAATCGATGTCTTTAGGATTTAATATCTAAATTATTTGTTTGATATTAATTTTATTTTTTACGATCCAAGTCGTATATTCCAACTTCCTCAATTTGTATAAGACGTTTTTAACAATTTTCTCCATATAGACGCAACAGATAGAAGTAAGATTAGTAGCGATCAGAAGCGATTATTTTTTGTCGTAAGTCTATACCCCCTTTCATTTTTCGCGAACACTCCCTTTAAATACTTTTAAATAAAGAAAGATAAGGTCTGAAGGCACTGTTCGGAAAGAGCATGCTTCTCTTGAAATGGAGAGTCACATTAAATTACAACAACAATCCCTTTAAACAACTTATTTAGTACAATACAGTGCATGGGTCGTACTACTGTGGAATAGGAAGACAAAATTAAAGGCATCTTATCTGTATTTAAGGGAAAAAGCTTTACCGTTAGCTTGAAAATCTTAATTTTTCATGTTAATTTGACTATTTGGAAAATATAACATGAGACTAGCAATTGCCTTCCTATTCCCAAGTTCTATGGGTTCTACTACTGTTATACCTGACATATTTGATGTGGAAAAAGAAGAAGAAAAATATAAAAGAATATCATGCTTACACTAGCCTGGGTTTACAACTACTAAACTAGAATGACACACCCTCTAAGCAAAGAGTACAATGTATAAAAATACCAATATATTAATGTCAACCAACTCCTCGCTCTAATTTATATCAACATTACTCTGTAAAAGTAATGTTTACATTGAGTCCTTATTACGTTTTACAATGTTAGCTTGATGTTTTACATCAAACATTTCTAATTAGCGTCTGAACAAGGGTTTCCACCAGAATTCCGGTTACTTAACGTAAACTGGAAAAATTCCGGTTTCCATTTCATTCAGAATTCCACTTTATAGAACAAATTGCCTGAACATTCCATTTTCAAAACGGATTTTTTTTGGGAATAATGGAAACCCTTACCTGAACCCATATAGGGCCCAACATTTTATCGAACAATATTAAACTATAAAATGTAGAGACTTTTATATATTGAATTAGGGTAAAATTTGGGCCACTTTTTTGATAAAAATGCTCAACTCTACCTTGCGCTTGTTCTCAAGTTTTCTTTGATACACTACAAAACAAGAAGTTGATAATTTTCAAACTCATTCAGAATCAGATTTTTTACTTTTTCTGGGTAGATTAAAATAAAATTAAAATGCAAACCAGAAAAATTCGTCTAGTTTAGAAAAGCTAAGTTTTTGATAAAACATGTTTAGAATAATTAAAAATTCGAAATTCCTTATCATTTTTTTTAATTTGTTAATTACTAAATAAGTTTGAATTTTTTTAATTTAAATTTTTACAAATTTTACATTAAATGTGTTAATGCTTAGTTGTTTTCTGGTGCAAAAAGGATTTCACATTCTTGATGAAATAATTTTACCCTTAGTGAAATCCTTATTTTTAGGCCCTTAACACTGTGGAATAGGAATATGATTTTAAGCAATCTAATGTTTGTTTGAAGATGATATAAAGCAAACATTAATGAATCACATGAATTATGGGTTTCAACAGCAAAATGGCTGTATTTAATGTTCGTAGGCCTTTTTACAATTTGAGTTCTAACAGTAGTCTTCCTATTCCAGAGTTTTTTAACCCTCACTGTACATTTGGATTATTCCTTTGGTTGTGTCCAATAAACCTTAGACGGCTGAACCGATCGGGGTCTAAAATTTTGTGTCTAGTCACTCTAACCCCCACGTGACCCTTGAGCAACAACATTCCATTGTTGTAAGATAAAGGGCAGTAAGAAAATTGTCTGATATGAATAAATCCACAATAGATTAGATACCATTTCGCAAAACAAAATATTATAGTTTTTAATGAATACTTAAATTTGTGCTTTTATTTTATTTTGTGATTCAAGTATTTCATAAAAACTAAAATGTGAATTGGTGTTTATAATTCACCTGTAAAATGATTTAAAAGTTGTTCTATCTTTAAATAAACATATTGGAGATAATACTGCTGGACGTGGAGACTGTATTGCGGAGGCTCGGAGGCAAAGCGTAAGGCTCGGAGATGATTTTGATTGCTAGGAGGTCATTCTGCCAATCAGGTCAGTTCGCAGGGCTCAATGTTGCTCTTTAGCCCTTCCCTCTCCCCTAGTACATAACAGATGGTTGAGATTGCTATACACCTTGTTTAAGATATTTTAGGTATATACAGCGAAAGGTTAAAGTCAAAGTAGACGATATAGAGTCATTATCATAAGCTTTTTATCAATTACGCATTCATATTTTACCATGGAAATGTTCAATGTCATTTTTATTTTTTGATTTATTTGGGCTTTAGATAAAGTATTGTTAAATATAAAGTCATGAACATAATTTCACGTGAAAATGAGTCAGAGAGCTTTTTTAACGCTAGTATTTAGATAAGAATTTATCTTTTTAAATTTGAAATAATTGCTTCGCTTCCCTACAAGTTTTTTTTTTGGGGGGGGGAAATAAACCGCAGAACCTTAAAAGACATCATATTTATGAGTAAACAAAAAAATTGAGAATTTATCGCAAAAAAATTATGAAAATTGTACATTAAGTATTGAGACCATGTCGACTTTAAGCTTTTTTTGATTTTCATAGTTGTGTTTTTCTTCAGCTTAGTGTATAAAAGTACAATTAAGTATAAATCCTGTACAGTACACAACAATTTGGGAAATTCCGAATTCTCCTGATATTTCCAAAAGAGATAGCAGCGTGCAATTATTACGTTATGTTTCTCTTCTTCATTCAGAACTTATTGAAGCTGTTAGAAGAACTTTTATGTCACATTGGAGGCCTAATTTTTTTTGACAGATTTCATAAAATTTCTCATTGAAGCCCTATCATTTTAAATGAATCTTACGTTGTTTACGGACAAAAATTCGTAGGAAACCCTATACCTAGGATTTTACAAAGAGACGTAACAAAACATTTCTCATTTTTACTTCGGCAACCTGATACTTCTATCAGATAATGTACTTTTTATATCAGAAGACTTTCCTTTATCATAAATCATAATTTCATTATTGTGGCCACAGCAGTAAAACAGCCAATTAATCAATCAACCAATCAATCAACCAAACAATCAATCAATCAATCAACCAATCAATCAACCAATCAATCAACCAAACAATCAACCAATCAATCAACCAATCAATCAACCAAACAACACTTCAAGGAATTTGATCGCAGCATAAGAAAAATGCAAGGAAATATATTTTGAAAATTTCCCCCCCCCCCCCACCTTCCCAATCTCTCCCCCTTAGCAATTTTTAGAGTTTTTTAACACTGACTAGGAGATGATCTAAACTTATTATCCAATTTTTCATTACCAAATGAAATCTTTAAAAATTATTCTCCCTCCCTCCTCCAAAAAAATACAAACCTATTAGGCATTATAAATATTGGAACCGAGCCAAGAGGAGTTAAAAGAATTGGTCTCCGCTGGAACTATAAATTTCTACATACAATCTATTTTTTCCATGTTTATTATTGTCCTGAGCTTATCAGTAAAAAAAATGTTAGTATTGAGTAAGCAGCCGCCCCTTGAAGATGTACAAAACAGGGATTATATTCTTTACACTTTTCACACTTTCAATAGCTAATACCAGAGGTACAGTTTTCAATAGTTTGAGAATAAAAGAAGCTAATAATACCTATTTCAAGTCTTTTCCCCCTCAATGAGTAAGCAATAAAAGTTCTAATTTAGAATAAGTAGAATCTTTTATTTCATTAAAGTATCCTGCAGTTTGAATACTGAATAGGCACCGTTTTTAAACATTTAAGGTTTTTTATTATAAAAGTGTTTCACAAGAATGTGCGTTATTTACAATATTTATCACATTATAAAACTGTTATTTCAATAACTTGGCTTTCATTACATTATTATACCAAAACGACTTATATCAAACGATTTATTAATCGTTTGAAAATGAATTTTTCTTTCGAAGTTTTGGAAGCAGCTTTAACTACAAAATATTTGGTAAAGTCAAGGGGCACAAGTAACGCATCAGCTGCGGTGAGTTTACACTGTACGCAGAATTTAAGTTGTTTTCAAGAGATTTAAACAAAGAGGGTAACGGTGTATTTCTAAATTGTCCACTTCGAATTAGAGTACTTCAAGAATCTGAATAAAATATTCAAAATTGTCTAATTTACTAGATGCAGAGACAAGAATTGGGAGTCCATATATTCTACCTGAGTCCTGCAGCAAGTGTTCAGATGTAAGTTTTGTATATGATCCCTTTAAGTTGACGTACAGATGTAACTTTGGTATATAATCCCTTTTCAGTTGACGTACAGATGTAAGTTTAGTATATAATCCCTTTTAAGTTGACGTAAAGATGTAAGTTTGGTATATAATCCCTTTTTTAGTCGAGGTACAGATGTAAATTTAGTATTTAATCCCTTTTTTTAGTCGAGGTACAGATGTAAATTTAGTATTTAATCCCTTTTTTTAGTCGAGGTACAGATGTAGGTTTAGTATATAATCCCTTTTTAGTCGAGGTACAGATTTAAGTTTTTGTAATCCCTTTTTTTGTCAAGGAACAGATGCAGGTTTAGTATGTAATCCCTTTTTAGTTGAGGTAAGGATGTAAGTTTTTTATATAATCCTTTTATAGCCGAGGTAAAGATGTAAGATGTGTTTATAATCCCTTTTTTAGTCGAGGTACAGAAGTAAGTTTTGTATATAATTCCTTTTATAGTCGAGGTAAAGATGTAAGTTTTCTTTTCCACGGGGTGTTTACGGCAAATTTAAGTAAATGGAGCGTAATATTGAAAAATATGTTTTTAATCATTTATAACTCTTCTTATTGAAGAGCTATTGAGAAGAAAAAATTTGTTTGAATTTTCTGATACCTTTGCATAAAATCAAAAGTAGAGGAGCAGGAGGTCACAAAGTCCTCCGAGAGATATCGCATACATTCGACCTAATTTAATTTAACCTTCTCATTCGATCTAATTTTCAGTGTGCTAAGATGCAGCGTTTTTTTAATAGGTGTTCAGATGTAGGAATTAATTGTGTACACTGCAGTCCCTTTTAGGACAGATGTTCTGATTTAAATGTTTTCACAGTCCTTTATTAATATTATTGCTGTTTAGATGTTCAGGTTCTCAACCCCTTTTTTAGTAGCTTAGTGGCAAATATTGATCGTAGTTCCTTCTCTTAGCAGATATTTTTTAACGATTGCTCTGGGTCTCTTTTAGATGTAATGATTGCTCACAATTCCATTTTCATTTCATATTAAAACTTAAATGTAAATAGCTTTTTATACAGTCTAAACTATCAAAAAAATTTCTAACAACATTCTTACAGGAATTTAGTCATTGCTACAAACTCTGAATTTCAAATTATGAATTCTGTTAGATCATACAGGGTGTCCCAACAAACATGGGAATTCAGTTTTGACTACAAACGGTTGTACTTAGTAAAACAAGAAAATTGCCGTATACAAACAGAGTAAACTTGTCCGTCTTCACTGTTCATCTGACGGAGACATATTATAGACACATCTTTCCAGTCTTTTACCCTTGTCATAAAATAAACTCTAGCTAGCAGACATAATAATATTATGGCTTATGAAATTAGGTATTACAATGCTAATTCATAACAAAGACGATATCCAATTCGTCACTGAATTTCCATGTGTTTTGGGACACCCTGTATAATATGAGTTCGATAGGGATTAGAAATTTTGAGTTTGTGGCAAAGACTTAATTCCTATGAAATTAGGTATTACAATGCTAATTCATAACAAAGACGATATCCAATTCGTCACTGAATTTCCATGTTTTTTGGGACACCCTGTATAATATGAGTTCGATAGGGATTAGAAATTTTGAGTTTGTGGCAAAGACTTAATTCCTTTTTTATTACAAGGATATAGAAGATATCTTGCATTACTGCACGTATGCATCTCCGGAATGTATTGGAGCCCTTGTCTACGCTAAAAGGTAAAAAGTACATGTTTTTTTTAACTTTTTCTTCTCGAAAGACGACATTAATGAACGGATTCTAATCACACCTTACTGAAATCTCGATCAAAATACATTATAGACAAGTGGTGCTGCTACCCAAAGACCAAATATATTACAGTAATTATCAGAAATGAAAACAATGGAAATTGGAAAAAGAAGACGCTATTATATCAATACTTAAGTGTATTTGATGTTGCTAAAAAGCAAATAGTTTTATTAGACACAAAATAAATCATCAATTTAGTGAAATGCGTATGTTAGCACTGCACAAATTCTGTTTTTAAATATTCATTGGACTTTTTAAAGTTATAGTCTAAAAGTCGTCTTCTTATTTCCTACATCGGAAATATAAGTCGCTTAAAATGCTTCCTGACCATGATTATATCAAAGTTACATGAAAATTATCTTTAAATTGTTAGAACAATGTAATTCAAAATTGTGGTTTTCCTTCTTTATGTTTATAAAGTCAAGCAGAGATCAAAACTTTTCTGCAGAATAGTGTTTATTTTCAACGTTTGATCTCAATATCGAATAGTGGACTTTTCACTTTTCAATTGATCAATGGATCAATGGATCAATGGATCAATGTTTGATCCTTGAATTATAGTTATCCCAGTAAGATATAACAACAACGAGGAATTAAATCAATTCAAAGGTCTGCAGAGCCGCGATTTAAAAACTTCGGCTCGAGCCGTAATTCCTTAAACCCGACTTTAAGACCCAATCTTCGAACCAACTCTGACGACAGATTGAGTCGCGTGATATAAGCTCAATGTTGAGTCTTGTTCTCATAATAACCCGAAACGCGCTAATTCCTTCCATGAAAATCCGCCCAATTGAATATTCATCCGGTTTTTGGAACTCAACTCTGTGGAAAATCAAATGCAGTTAGAATCCGAAAGCTCAAGCCGTAAATAAGGCCCAACGACAGCTAAGACCCGAGCCCTACTTCCTCGAGCATTTGAAATCGCGAGCTCAGAAGCAGGCGCGTACACCGGAATTCAGCCAGGGGGGGCAAATTTTTTTGCCCCCCTCCCTGGCCTTTAAAATGCTGTTATTCTATATTAAGTCCACTACATGTCCCCTAGGTGGCCCATTTAGTATTCAAGGACTATATATTACAATGTATCCCTCTGTTTAGTTCTATATTACTCTCTGAAGTCCTGAGTAGTCTCCTGAGACTATTCCCCTTTATAGTCAACTGTTGTCCCAATGGACTACATATTACAATGTATCCATTTGTATAGTTCTGTATTGCCCTCTGAAGTCCTGAGTAGTCACATGAGACTACTCCCCTTTGTAGTTCTCTGTAGTTCCGATTCAAGGACTATATATATTAAATATATCCCTCTGTATAGTTCTCTCAATTCTTAAGACTACTTACCTTTATAGTCCACGGACTATATATTTAAATGTATCCTTCAGTATTATCGGGAAAACATGCCAAACGCTTGCATAATGCATATAGCTATAGTTGTTTATCAAGTATGCGGGGGGGGGGGGGGTGGAGATTTTAGATAAAAGGGAAATACTACGGTAAAAGCACCAAGAAAATTTTCAACTATACTTTTTATAGGGGAAAACACCCCTTTGATGATGAGGGCAAGCTTTTTTTATTACCCAGAACACACGATTTTTACCTTTGCTCATAAATTCAAGGGGGGGCACGAGGACTACTGCCCCCCCCTTTTGTACTCGTCTGTGCATAATGCATATAGCTATCTCTAGTTGTTTATCAAGTATGCAGTGGGATGGAGATTTTAGATAAAAGGGAAATACTAAGGTTTTTGAAAATAAATAAAAGAAATTTTTCAACTACACTTTTTAAAGGGGAAAACACCCCTTTGATGATGAGGGCAAGTTCTCTTTTATTTACCCAAAACACCTAATTTTTATCTGTGCCCAAAAATCCCAGGGGGGGCAAGTGGACTACTGCCCCCCCATGTACGCTACTGCTCAGAAGATGAAGATTAATTTATGATCCTCAAATTCAAATGATGACATTGTATTCTACAGAAGGACACTTCGGTATACAAGTAAAATTCCTAACTGCCCACTTTCATTACTTGGCATTTTCCGACTATTCTGTTTTACAAAAAAAATTTAGTCTTATACCACTGATATTTTTATGTTAAGAAAGTGGCTTGTACCATAGACTTTTCCTTCCCTTGATTTGCATGTTTATTAGCATTTTTTCCATTTAGGGACTGTATACAGTGTATCTGTGAAGTTGTAACAGATGGTTTAAACGACGACATTTCATCGCAGCTCTGCCCGATCTGTCCTCAGCTACCAATCTGCAGTCCAGAATAAAGTCTCATGGTACAGTTTTTGTCGTATATATCAATAAAATAAACACTTATATGTACTTTGTTCTTTTTTCAAAGCTTTCAAACAGCAGAATTACTTGAACATTTAAACAAAGAGAAGTTAACAATTAAAAGCTTATCTTTGTTTTCTTGTAAACTTGTAATTTGAAAATTCTTGTCAGGGATCAAAGACCTATAATTAATAAACCGTCGTCTTCATTCTATTGATATAATTACCGACAACTGTTTGTGAACATGGTGGTCTTTATACAATAATACATTAGTTGAGTTTACTTTCTGTAAAAACATCTGCCTAAATTGTATTTAAACGAAGCATAAGGGCGTATAAGGGTGTCTAATGGGGAAGAGCCCTAAATTGACATATATTCATTCTATTTTCCCCTTTTTTGAACTGAATACAGCCGAAATCACCCCCCCTCCTGAAAGTTGAGCAATTATGATGGATTCAAAAGAAAACACAATAAGTTTATTATTTTTGAGAAATACCCCCCCCCTCCCCCTAATTCATTTATGAGTTTAGAGAGGGCACTTCCCCCACCCTGTATACGCCCTTGCTGCTAATTGCCGTTTCTTCTAATTTTACTAAAATGTATTAGATAATTTATTGAATAAAGAAGATTTATAAAATTTAAATTTGTAAACCTTTAAATAAGTAATAATGAGGAACTTAATTAGATTAATTACACTTAAATTCATGTATTCTAGACATTAATCATTAATCATTAACTTTCAAGTATATAGTAGATACACTTATCCATGTTTATTAGACATTAATCATTAATCATTAACTTTCAAGTATATAGTAGATACACTTATCCATGTTTTCTAGACATTTAATCATTAATCATTAACTTTCAAGTATATAGTAGATACGCTTATCCATGTTTATTGTTTACTAGACATTAATCATTAATCATTAACTTCCAAGTAAATAGTAGATACACTTATCCACGCTTTCTAGACATTAATCATTAATCATTAACTTTCAAGTATAAAGTAGATACACTTATCCATGTTTTCTAGACATTAATCATTAATCATTAACTTTCAAGTATATAGTAGATACGCTTATCCATGTTTACTAGACATTAATCATTAATAATTAACTTCCAAGTAAATAGTAGATACACTTATCCACGCTTTCTAGACATTAATCATTAATCATTAACTTTCAAGTATAAAGTAGATACACTTATCCATGTTTTCTAGACATTAATCATTAATCATTAACTTTCAAGTATATAGTAGATACGCTTATCCATGTTTACTAGACATTAATCATTAATAATTAACTTCCAAGTAAATAGTAGATACACTTATCCACGCTTTCCAGACATTAACCATTAATCATTAACTTTCAAGTATAAAGTAGATACACTTATCCATGTTTTCTAGACATTAATCATTAATCATTAACTTTCAAGTATAAAGTAGATACACTTATCCATGTTTACTAGACATTAATCATTAATTTTCAAGTATATAGTAGATACACTTATCCATGCTTTCCAGACATTAAGCATTAATCATTAACTTTCAAGTATGTAGTAGATACACTTATCCACGCTTTCCAGACATTAATCATTAATCAGGAACAATTATCCCCGACAAAAAATATTCCATGATAAACCAAAAATCAATAGGTCGTCAAACTTGGATTATTCCATATCCTTGGCAAGTTCAGGGGAAGTTTATCCAAACACTCATCTTCGTCAAAAAATGAAAAAGATTCTAAAATGAAAAATATCTCTCCAAACATTAAAATGGTTGATGGGCATGTGATTAGCCCTGTATTGATAACCTCATAAAGAGATAAATATACAATATTATAACTATTGCCGGAACCAGGAGAAAAGTTTGACCAAAGTTTTGAATAATTGATTGGCTGGGGGGCCAGGGCAGGGGGACAACACGGACACAACTTTGTCAGGAAACAGTGCTCAAGGGGTCAACAGTTCAGCATTGTATTTTTTAATTTAATCGGCATTACCCGTTGTATTTCCAAAATCGTCCAATATTTCGGCCGAAGTCAACCTCTTGTGTCCCATGTGATGGTACACTAAGCGATATGCCACCGCATTATAATTTTACCAAAAAGTGTATATGTAATATTACAAAAATGTAACACCATGCAAAAACCAGGGCGAAATATATTTTTTTTTTCAATTTGAATTCAATCGCAGTTTAGTCTATAATTTTAGGATCTTTAAACATATGCGTATCGCGAAAAATGTTTAAAAGGTAAAATTATAATCGAAAGTCCCAGCTTGCTGAATTTTTAAATTGACAATATTTGGGCTAAAAATGTATCTAAAATGTTTCAATTTTTAATATTATAAAATTATATGTAGACTGCAAACCATATAATATTATATAATTGTCTGTATCACAGCCAACCATATAAGGACCAACCCATGTCCAAAGATGAAAGTTTAGTCTGGCAGTTTTCAGTATTTATTGTCAGCTTATTTTCTGCTTCAAGAAAATATATTAATTCTCTAAATTTCTTTGTTGTCTCTGCTGCATAAATCTGAAAATCATCGCAATGCAACTCTCAATAAACCTGGGGGAACTGAGTTCGGTTTCTTTGATCGCGTTTAGTCTATAATTCAACAATCTTTAAAATCACGGAGTTTTTCTGTTTTATATTTTCAGTTAAATCGCATCCGCAGACTAAAAAGTACAAAAGAAGAAAAGCGAAAAATGATCATGTCAAATTGGGATCGAAAGTCACTTCTTGCTGAGAAATGAACCTATTATTTAAATCTATAAAATTGTGAAAAACTCAAAAAAAATTTTATTGGAATGGAAATATTTTGAAAGAAAAATGTCTGAGGTGAATGTAAAGGAGTTGGGTAGATATAAAGGAAGCATTGATATAACTACGGTAATTTTTTTTAAAAACTTTTTTTTTTAATCCAGTGTATTCCTCATAAGGAAGTATAATTAAAAAGAAAGGGTGATACAGTAAGGCCCATACAAATCTGGAATAGGAAGACGACATTTCATCAATCATTTTAGTATTTAATGTTGTTAAAGAGTAAAATTTATTATTATGTTTGAAAATTAACTCTTTCTAACTGAGATGGGTCTGTGTACACCTCACAATAGCTGTTCTTCATGTTGATTGCCAATATTGCAATATCATAGCTTGATCTAAAAGATGTGTTCCTATTCCAGTTTAACTAGACCATCTAGGTTACTAGACCCAATGTAGGGTGAAACATTGGTTGTTTTTATTGCCACCGAAGCTGATACCATGGAGCCTGGAGGAGGACAGTTTATTTTAAACTCTTTCAATTGATAATTCTATTCCTGATCAATAATTCAATAATGATGCACTTTTTTATAAAATACCCTATATTTATATTTTTTTATATCTGCATAATAATAATAAAATAATACAATATAATAACACAAATGGTAATTTACAGTTTCATGTTTTCTTCAGCATACTGGAAATCTTAATCTTTAAGACTGTCGAGTTTAATTTAAATTTTTCCCCCGAGCTCTGAGATTGTTATTTTACCATTGTGGTTTAACTTGAAGAAAAATAATTATAATTGAACCCACAGACTACACAGACTGCTTAACTACTTTCACAAGGTGGACTTCGTAGGCCTAAGTTGACCCTGGACGACATGCTACGTTTTTACGATAGGTTTTTAGAGTGCCATCTCACGGCCACTTGTTGAACATAATACCCATTTAGTGGTTGAGTTTTACAACTTTTAAAGAAATACTCCAATTTTAAATATAAAACATAACATTTATGAATTTAGTCTATTTTTAAAGATTTTGTGTTTCGTATCCAAGGGATCCTTAAATATCCCTGAATACAGATGTTTGCTGATTGGTCGTGTACAGTACTTGTACACAATAGAACATGCTGTGAGAAATATTGCATAATTTAGCAGATAATCGATCTCTGTAACTCTCTTATCTCTGGTTGAACCCATAAAACTGTGGAATTGAAAGACAACTGTTCTGATTATATTTGTTGTGTAGGCCAAGTGTATCTTGAATATACCGATAACTCTGGGTATTGACTCCTTTAACGAGGAGGAACTGCAGACTGTATTTGATGCTGCTCTAGAACGGGTAATTTTATTTTTTATTCTTAAAGATTTAAATTTTCATGTCTTTTCTTAATATAGAAAAAAGACATTAAAGCAAAGAGTTTTTTTCTGATCAATTTGGTTCCCATATGTCGTTCTGAAGCCTTTCCCCAGTTTTAAAGATCCATAACTTATATTGTAAATTTTTCGGAATTCTTCCAGCCTCGGAAAAAAATTCACATCCGGAATATTGAATAGTAAACTGGAAGATTTTCGGAACTTTCCATACGCTTGTAAATTTTTTTATGAAAATACTTGCGCATTATTTTTAGAATTGTAAACATAAATCTTCCTTGAAAAAAAAAACACAATGACATGGATTTCCGTTCATTCTACAACATTTTCCGAAAAGAAAAGGAGAGTGCTTTCCGTTAGCTTCCGGCTTGCAACCGGAAACTGAAATTCCAACGGATCCCCTTCTCAGGTTAATATTATCCGTATTCCGGATCTAATTGATGACGGCGGGGAAGAAAATGATTTTGAAATTTCAAGATTGTCTAAAGTTGATCTTCGTTTACCAAACACGGTAAGTACTTACGACCGAGTTCTATAGAATGAGCTGTTGAAGTGTAAAACAAGAAGCACTTAAAAAGATTTTCTTGTTTTTAACCTTGAATTTTGAAATTCTTAAAGGGGCTGAAAGTGTAATTTTTAAATGACTTCCAATGCAAAGATGACAATGCCGGATTTACAGTTGTCACACCGGACAAGGCAAGGAAAGTTAACTCTGTTGTGTATTCTCTGCGTACATTTTGAAACCAGTTCTCTCTGCGCGGTGTTTGTAAACAAGAATAGAGGCATCAGTTTTCCTCATGGAGAATAGAATATATAGAGAGGAATTTACTAGAAAAAAGTGTAAATCGGCCATTTTGTTGTACTGTTTCCATACTGCAGGTGTACTTCACATATTTATGCTATATAACCTGTTGGGCCCTGGAATATCATTTTATAGAAAATCTAAAATTATTGTTAAAAGAAAACCAAATTATGAAATAGGCTGGTTTCATAATTGACCAATGATCATTTCACATAGACTCTATGCCTTCCACTGTACAAACGATGATTTTCCGTTATAACTATAAATCAAATGATGTTTTTATTCACCTAATTCATTATAAAGTTTATTTAACAGCTTTAAAAATTTCGAAATTGAAATGAATAGACTAGGGAACATACTGTATTAATGTACTCTACTGCATATAATTTGTGAACATTTACATGATTTGTAAACTTTGAACTCCCTTTCAGGCTGAAAGGGACTGAAAAAATTCATACCGAGAGATTCTCTAAATTCCTCTCTATATATTCTATTCTCTATGGTTTTCCTCTAGTATTCGAGAAAGATAAATTTTGATAAATTTTAATTTTGATAATTTGCAATTCACATAATAGTTTCCTATGACTAGATTATATGTTTTGTGTTTATTTTACCGCTCAGTGACAGTACTCTGCAGTACAAAAAATGCGGGCTTGACAGTCTTTGCGTGGAGGGTAACTTGTGGTTTCGCTTACTGT